ACAATCAACAAGTGGGCGAACAATTTGATAGCCAGTCTCTTGCTGAAGCCAGTCAGGAGAAGTGGGAGAGGGTGAAAAATACATGTCCATTCAGAAAAGCCTTCTGTGCTCATCTTTTATTGAAGAACTTGACGAGCTCTTTGAAATCTGCTGGCTGTGAATGTCCATGCCAGTCTCTCTTTAAAAGCTTTGACGCATCTAAGCTACACATGGCACATGTAGCTACAGGAGATGCTAGCAATGCTGTATTTATTAATTTTGCCACAATGTCATATTACAGCTTGTATCTTAACAAGAAGTATTTGTGATCATTTATAACGTAAAGTCACAAAGTAAGCTTCTTTAAAAGGTTGGCAAGCAGGCTGAAGTGATTCCCTGAATCAAACCACTGATTTCATTTTTCAGTTCGTTACCTAAAGCATATAGATTCACCCTGAACTATGTATAATGTCTCGGAAGTTTCGGATGGTTTGGTCAGGAGTCTGAAGGGTTTGGTTATCATAATGATCTACAAAATAAATTTTACCTCAATTATACAAACTATTTACAGTATTTTGTTTAAACACAGTGTACAGCTAATAAGTAACAGACTATGCATTTTATGTAACATGTGATCAAATATTATATCAATATTATTTACCTTTATGATCATGAAAAATGTGTATCCTTTGACAAAGCTAAGAAAATTATAAACTGTATATATTGCTAAGAAAGTCATTTTGAAGTATGGATGGACAAAGACTACGTTTCATGAACAAGAGGGGGGAATTATCAACAAATTGTGATTTATTAAATTACATTTACTAAATTAATTATGGGGGGAGGTTCTTTATCTAAATGTATGAACTTGCAGTATCCAGTCTTCTGCTGAACAAAAATAATGCTGCCTTAAGGAACTTTCACAGCATGGTTAAAGTTCAAACGTCTGGAGGTGATGTTATCATGTTCTTCTTGATCAGGCCATTAACTACTTGAGACGGAATCAAAACCGCTTCTGCTGCTTGCAGTCAAGCAGTAAACCTAATGTTGCCTCAATTTCAATCAACCATCAATTCTACTCCATTGATGTTACTCCTTTTTCCCCAAATGAGGTTAAAAGAGCAAGTCAGAAGGCAGGCATACGTGCGTTTGTTTGAATATTGTTTGCTTACATGAGCTTTCCTCTGGAGATACTCCAGCTTCCTCCCACATTTCAAAAATGTGTGTTAGGTTAATTGAAGACTGATTTCCCATAGGTGGGAATGTGAAAATGAAAGTTTTTTTTTTTAATCTAAATTCCTTGTGATTAGCTTGCGACCAGGCCAGGATCACCTGAGATAAACTCAAGATCACATATGACCAAAACTCGGTAAACAGAATAAAATGGATGAATGGAGAGTCGAGATGATCATAGAATATTTTTATTCTTTAAAAAATTACATTTGCACTAATTCTGCATTAAAGTATTCTTCTAAAGATAAAGTAATAAGCCACGCAAAGGAGTGACATTTTTTTTAAGTTACATTCAAAATACCTGTACTCAAAACTGTAATTATCTTACTACGCAGACTATTTTATTGTCTGTATTCGTCAATTCTTTTTGGGATATTTTTTCTGTCACAAACAGCAGCAAGAGTTCCAATGTATCCTCATGGTTTGAAAACACCCACTTCTCATCACTCGAGGTATGCACACACACACACACACACACACACACAGGGGGCACAAAGAAACAAACTTAGCAAATCAAACGCTCTTCCCAGAAGAGAAAATCTGCAAACAAGAAAACAATTGACGTTTTTTTTTGTCAGACTTCTCGATGCTCCTCCAGCCTATAATGACTTCAGAAAGAAGCACTGTGCACCAACACCGTGAAAGAGATGATTGGGATCAAGGTCAATTCAAAGAAAGAGATCTGGATCTTTGCTCGGGTGAAACTCTGAAACATGTAGAGACCATGGCATGTCACTCATGGGCTTCCTCTCACTTTAAGTAGAAAAGCTTGTGACCATTTTTCTGCCTCTTCTCGAATCCATTAAGTCGCCTCGATTCACCAGTGTTTGTTTTTCATTCTTTTTTATCAGCCTTTTGTGTGTGTGTGGGGGGGGGGGGGCAAAGGGGGGTGGGTATACCGTAGACAACAATGAAAATCTGCCAAGAACATAAAACTGGGACTTTTAATTGGCCTGCCTCCCATCTGCTATAAATTGACATGATAAAAGATGATATTCACTTTGGAGTTCATTTAATCTATTTTGTTTGTTATGCGCACCTTAAGGAATCAGCGAGGGTATGACCATGTCCTCGATGAGAAAATGAAGAAAGAAAGATGCAATCAAAGAAAAGTAAATCTCTCTGATAACGCTTGGCAGACGGTGGCTTGGTACACCTCAGGCTGGATATTAAAAAATCTCAGATGGGCTGTCCAGCTGACAACTTAATCCATTTAGAGTCTCTGAGTAAGCAGCAGGAAGCTGAGTCAGGGTCAGCGTACAGAGAGGTCTGTCATTCCTCACACGAGGCACAATAGGTTTACAGTATCTCTGCTAATCTATAAAAGACACTTGAGACACAAAGAGAGGCAGCGGGAGAAGAATGCAATCATCCCGTTGATATCGCGATGATTAAAAGGTGCTCCGACACAAAAACCCTCACGAATGGAGGTCACACAACAAATGCTTGGAAAGAATGGCTTTTGTTTTGTCCATTTTCAAACAGCAGCAACGGTGCACCATGACAGTGCACGATATTCTGATATTATTATGCAAAATGCTTCAAGTGATAAAGGTAGATCAGATGACCTTTCAAAAAAGGAGCAGGTCAATACGTTAATTAAAAAGTCCTTGTTCCAACCACAAAAAATGAAGATCAGTGAAGGGCACCGGTGGTCTCTCTGACTTTCTTTGAACCATCGCAGGTAGAACAGAAGGTGATATTTGCAATACATTTTAGAATAGAGTTCTGGTGTGCCCGTGACATGAAAAAAGAACATTTGTGTCCGGGAATGTGTGAAAAGCAACATGACTTCCAAACAATGACTCAACCGTTGAATCGGACACTAAACATTAGAAAAGCAGATGAAGCTCTTCAGTGTGTTAAGTGAATGCTGTTCGATATGACACGGAATGATATCTTAACAAACTGCATTTTACTGAACTGTTCGATTTTCAGCTTCGACAATGCCATCATTTATATTGATGATACTATACTGTGCTTATTTTCTCAGGTTCTCAAAGCTATTTATCAAGACACATGAGCAGGACTTCTTCATTGTTGAATTGAATTGAATTGAATACAACTTTATTGTCAAATGTGCTGTATTGCATACAGCACAGATGTAATTTCTTCTTCTTCTTCAAATCTTGTGAGTTGAAAGATAAATTGGAAGAATGTTGATTTGACCTACTTAAAAAAAAAAAATATATATATATATATATATAATGAAAGCCGTTCTAAAAGCGACCAAATGCACCAAAAATAGAATTTCACAGAAATGTCACAAACTAATCGGATCAGACAGAAAATTCCCATATAACACTGTTTGCCTCTTGATAGGCGTGTCAAATTAAAAAATGATTACCGGTATATTACTTAAAAATTATTGTGATCTAGAAATTTTGCATGTGTAGCATTTTAAAAGTATATTTCTGTTAATTATGTGGAATTTTATACAATACAACTTTTATTAATATAGCACATTTCGCAACAGCTGCAGCTGTAACAAAGCACTTTAGATAAAACTTTTGGGGGAGAATACATTGGCTGTTTTGAACAATATAGTAAAATCCTTAATATACGAAACCCTAGCAACTGCAGCTGCTACTGTTTGTTCACTGTGACTCATATATTGACAGAAGCATTTACAGGCAGTTTACGTTTTGCAGAGAATGTCAACTCTGACAGGTGTCAGCCTAGTCAACTGTGCTCCACAACCAAAATTGGAACGATAAATAGCCGAGTGTGTGTGTGTGTGTGTGTGTGTGTGTGTGTGTGCGTGCGTGCGTGCGCGCGCGCGCGCGCGCGCGCGCGTATAAACTCATTAAAATAAATTAAAATCCAGACATTGAGTTGGCAGTGCGATAGTGCCATCTCCTGGATAATTACCGTCCTGTCATGACGCCAAACATGTCGGGCATACAGAGCCATTATGAGGAGATTTTGGTTTTGTAGAATTGTTGCTCTATAGAGCTGCTTTGGAACTGATTACTGTTGATTATTTGACAGAGAGTAAAATGTATGTCGACTTAAACAGAACGTGTAGTAGTAATAATTAGAGGCAAATAGGTGGTAGGATTGTTGTTTGTCAGCAAGTAATTAGGAGTTTAGGTGATTTTAGATAGGTTTTTGTTTGTGCTGCCTCTTAATTATGTTACATAAAGAGTGTTAAAATCCACCTTGTTCAATTTTTCTTTACTGACATCGGAATCTAAGACAAGGAATCCCAACCAGGGTGCCAAGGCACACTCGTGCACTCAAAAGTATTATTAGAAGTTCTACAAGAAAAAAAAATACTATTTCACTGAATCGGCCTAATATACATATATATTTATTTACCACAAAAAACGTATACTGCTCTATCGATTCCAATCAAATATAATGACAGGCAGAACAATTCAATGTTCTTCCACGGTTGTCTTGGCTGAATAAAGGGTAGGAAACTCTTGAGTCTATGAACAATATTGACCGGGTTTGGGTAAAGGTAATCGGCTATATCATTTCACATTGACAGTAGTTTTAAAGGTTGTCCTGATGTGGATGTCTAGCCACTGAAATATAGAGTACTGTGGTTACTAAAATAAGAAGTAACAGTCAGTGTAAATTGTTTCCTTCAAAATATTCCCAAACTACTCAACACACTGTGATCATGTTAAAAATCAAACACTACATTTTTTTTAGATATCAGAATACTTGCACGTGTCTCAAGTAGGCTACGGTATAATATAGGCAACAATATGCAGACTAATAATAATAATATTGTTGTCAACGAATGTGCTCAAAATAAAGTTATGATAGAGCAGGAGGAGAACTATACGTCACAGTGACGTATTTTTAAGTGGACAGAAGTAAATAACTTTTGTTACGCTGTTTTATTGTTACAATAAGATTAACACATTACATTAATTGACGAGGTAGAAGTGAATGATCCGATGCCTTATTTTTAAAGATAACAATCAGCTCTAAAAGTATAATGCCTTTCACACGAGATAACGTTCAGAAGTGGCTTTGGTAGCTTGCTAACAAGCTAGCCCCCGCTGTCTCATCGAAGACTCGTCAGCGCTGGTCCCTCTTCACAGAGACACCGGCGAACATTTGGAAGGATGGCAAGTGTACACGAAAGTTTGTATTTCAACCCGATGATGACCAACGGGGTGGTCCATGCTAATGTTTTCGGGATTAAAGACTCGGTCACTCCGTATAAAATCTCCCTACTGGCTTTACTGTACGAGATGACATCGTTTAAGATCACTCTGCCGGAAAGAAGACGCCTGAACAAACTCATCTTACCGCTACAGCAGGTAGTTTTAAATGATGTGGACACATTGCAGTCTGCACCAGTGGGAGTGACTGAGTGTGCTTATTTTATGCTGCGTTTCAGAGCTCTGACCTGTCTCTTGGCCAGTTCCTCAAGACTGTGGGAGAGTGTTGTCCTGAGACTGCGTATTCTGTCAAAATAAGGTTTGCTGAAAACGGAAAAACCATCCCTAAACGTATACAATCTTTAATACGTTTATAATATTTTTAACGTGTAGTTAGTTTCAAAAACGTATTTAACCTTTATTTATTCAGGTAAGGCAATTGAGAACAGATCGTCTTATTCTCTGCTGACAGCAGAGTAAAACAAGTCAAAATAAAAGCAAATTCAAACATTCAACAAACTGTGCAATGTGATGTACACAAACTGCAGACAAAACAAAAATGTACACAATTTCACCATAATAGGTGGCATGGTGGCCTTTCAGGCAGTTCAGGATGTACCGCGCCTCTCAACTAAAGTCATCTGGGAGAGGTTCCAGCATACCCGTGACCCTAGTGAGGATAAGCGGTACAGAGAACAGATGGATGAATATTAATAATCATACAGTCACAAACAACCAGACAAAGTCTTTTTCTCTAATCAAAATACATCAAAGCTCACTTGCCCCAACCTTTAACTCTCAGATGAGAGCAATGAGAGAGTCTCCTTTGACAAGATGAGGGGTGTCGCGATGACAACATGCTGGATGTCACTCACTAAAAGCTTGAAAGTAAAGAAGCAATTACGGTCATCCAGCAGCCGATAGTTCGTCCGTTGGCGATGAACACATACCGAAATATTGGATAAAGTTTTCTTGTACTTGATACAGTATTGTATATTTCATCAGACTAAGGTTTGAACGAAAGAAAAATTGTCCCAAAACCTTAACACCTTTTAATATGGTTCTAATATTTTGTCCCTCTGATGTGGCTGAATCCATCAGTTGGATATTAGAAACCTCTAGGTCCAATACATTACTGTAAATACATTAATAATATTATGTGTGTGTGTGTGTGTTTTCTCGTTTTACAAATGGCGTTAGGGAGAATTATATATATATATATATATATATAAAACGGCCATGGCAGAGCTATATACACTGCCCTCCATATTTATTGGCACCCCCCGGTTAAGATGCGTCCTTGAGCTTCTAATATATATATTTTTTTCTAAACAATATAGGACGTTTTTAAAGAAGAAAATCCAACCTTTAATTCAAGTGCATTTATTCAGTGGAAAACAATCCCACATTATTTATGCATATATATTTCCATCAAATAAAGTGTGCCACAATTATTTTTACCCCTGATGTTAATACTTTGTACCACCCCCGTTTGCCAACAAAACAGCACCTAATCTTCTATAGTGCCTCACAAGACGGGAGAATACAGAAAGAGGAATCGTCAACCATTCCCCTGTTTACAATCTCTCTAAATCTTCCAGCGACCTAGGTCCTCTGCTCTGCACTCTCCTCTTTAGCTCACTCCACAGATTTTCAATGGGGTTGATGTGTGGGGACTGAGATTGCCATGAAGGAGCTTGATTCTGTGTCTGGCAAACTATTTCTACAATTTCCAGTATCAGAGTATTTTGTGCAAAAAAAATAATAATAATTTAAAGGCTTTTCATACATCTTAAGTAGGGGTGCCAATAATTACGGAGGGCACTGACCAGTGCATACAGGTTTTGCACATCATGTATACACCTTTACGTCGTGGGTTTTTTTTTTTTTTTTTGGTCGTTGGACTTTTATTGCTGTTGAAGCAGCAGAATCAATCTCTTAAATTATCAGTCCATCTATCCATTTTCTGAAGCGCTTATCCTCACTAAGGTCACGGACCTGCTAGAGCCTATCCCAGCCGTGCAATTAATGGACTCACATGTCAGCACACACTGTATGGATAAGGCACGATTGAACTTTAAGTCGTTCCATATACGACTGGGGAAAAAAGTCGAGTCGGCCAAAACAATCAGTCAAAACAAAAATGCATGCCTTGAAACTGCTTTTAATGATTAAACGGTGTGTTGATTGCTAGGCAGACATGTTAACCACTTGGCCTGTATCTGAAAATGGCAACCTTTCTTGTCGTCAGAATAAACAAGCAGTGTACAGTCAATGTATTTCTCATTTTGTTGCTGTATTGTTTTTTCCCCCCCCATTCAAAGCCTTCATGAAATGGTTGATGGTGAGCTAAAGGACATGGAGCATTTCTTTTCGACTCCTATCACGCCATTCACAGCTTTTGATTCAGAGGCGTATAAAACCAGTGTTGTGGGTAGGTAGCAGTACAAAGCCCCCTGAAAAGAATGTTACAATGGAACTAATCAAGCATTCATCTTTACCTGCCCTGTGTTTTAGGTCTTTTCATGAGACACATGCTCCTAGCCTATAACAAGCTTTCCTTTAGTCAAGTGTACAAGTTGTACAAGTCCCTGCAGCATTACTACCACAGCAATTACTCCAAGCCCACAGAGGGCCAAGTGGGTTTGATGTCTCTGGCTGTGGATGACTTTGATATGGATCTCACCAGCACTGAGGATGCAGTTGGGGACCGATTAGACAGGGAGGAGGGGGACAACTCTCCAGACGAATTGGAAATTCGGTACGTCTTTGAGTTGTTTTATTCAAAGTATCAATTTTGTTTCGATGGGGCTTACTCTTCACTTGTATTATCTCCGATGTTATATTAGGCCTGAAAACACTCCAAGCCGAGGTCCCCTGTCACAAAAACAAGCCGAGTACTTTCTTGCGAGACAGGTGAGTTTCTAACTTGAGCAGTTTGTTTCGTATCAACTGGCATTTGTGTGATGCTCATTTTGGTGTGTACGCGTGTCCCCAGGCGTACCTTCTGAAGAACGACGAGAACAAATCTTTAAAGCCTGCATTGCTGCAGGAGGAAGTCAACAACATGCTCAAGTTTAACCCAGACTTTGCTGAGGCGGTGAGGCTCGTCTTTTTCAACCTCACTATTTCGACCTTTGAGTAATTTTATGGATATTCTTCTCTTTCCTCAGCACTACTTGAACTATCTGAACAGCATCAGAGTACAGGACATCTACCTCTCCACCCACAGTCTCTTACATTATTTCGACCGCCTCATCTTATCCGGAAATGAAGGAAAAAGCAATGGAGAAGAAGGCTACAGCAGAAATCTTCGCTACGCCACTCTAAACTTGGCCAGCCTTCACTGTCGCTTTGGGCACTAGTGAGTGCAAGAGCAGTTGAACTCAACAGACAGGTCTTTGGATCACCTGAATGTTCCCGTTTCTGTCCCCAAGCCTGCAGGCTGGTCTGGTTCTGCAGGAGGCCATGCGCATCGCCCAAGAGTCCAACGATCATGTCTGCTTGCAGCACTGTTTGGTAAAACCAACTTTTATTTCACATCTGTGTGTTTTTTGAACAATTATTGATCATGAGCTTCACCGCTTTTCCTTTTCTTTTTGCACCGTCCTGTATCAGAGTTGGCTCTATACACTGGAACAGATGAAGGGATGCGACAGCACCGTTTTAACTGAAGATTCTGTTAAAATGGCTGTTCATTTCTGCCTGCCGGTGAGTGTCACGTGATCTGAATTAGGATTGCTGTCATGAAAAGTGTCAGGGGCCGTATTTTACTGTTGATTTTTAATTAACAGTTTCCAGCAGATGAGATTTGAACGTGGTCGACTCAATATTTAGTGGGACGGCAATGACTAAAATAAGAGACTCATGATACTGTTCTGCATTACCGTAAAATTTACTGTGAAAACATTTCTATACAATAATCAGACAGTATAATAAAAAAAGTAATAATTGTGTTTATTTAATCTTAATTTGTCCAGTGTAGGCCAACCTGGTAATAATAAGAATAAGAATCTATAGTACAAAGGCATACAGGTTCCTCCCAAGGAAACATTTGTTCTATATTTCTTGAAGCTGCCCCACACCAGTCCCGACCGCCAAGTACTTGGGGACATAAATTCTGCAGTACCAAGGACATGAGATACCGTGTAGGTGCTCAAATATCCTCAGATTATGCTGAATTTGATGGATGGGTCAACACTAAAAAAATAACAGTGACCACAGAAAGCAATGATTATAAGCGAATGAAGCTGCTGTTGTTTGTGGCTGGATTATTTTTACTTTCTACAGTAATCACAGTTCTATTTGCATATTCACCTATTCACATGTATAGGCAGTTTCAAAAAGCTAAATGCTTAGCTTTTTCTCGCTCTTCGCGACAGGGCTCAGGCCCTAACCCCCCTGGATTACTGTACATGCAAATAACACAGCACTTCAAAGTTACAGTTACCAACAAAACCCTATTGAAATAAATTATGTTAAGTTTTTAAAAGTTAGCAAAGATTGATGACAAAGTCCGACATTCAGTGTCTTTATCATAGAGATTGCAGAGAAACAGTAGTCGGCTAACATGGGAATTCTTTTGTGAGTCAGACAAGAACTATAATTTTTTGTTTCAGCTCTCCAGCCTATAAACCACATGCACTCCAACAAAGTTTTATTACTCATACAAATATGAGAGGAAAAAAACTGCCAACTTGACTGCAGGAAGTAAGCAGAAGTGAAGTGGAAACACAACTTGACGGCTGCATCATATCATAGGCATGATTTCGTCCTGCCTGTGTGTTCTTTGGCAAAGCAGATCTAAATACTGAACCATATGTTTCAATGGCTGTTCAAAAATGTTAAAACTTCACATTGTGGCTGATGAAAAGATTCAGCAACAGTAAACCTCATTTTTGTGAGAGTTGAAGGGAAGCCAACACTCTCCCATACACACTGAAATCAGTATTTCGCTCGCTTTGACCGACACAATGCTAGCAGAGGTATTTACTAACATTGTCAGCCTCTTGTTCAAAAACAGGCTGTAGTTCCCACTTGCCCCAAATCATCCCAACACCCAAGAAACCCACACTGAACGATCTGAATGATTATCATCTGGTTGCACTAACTCCCATTCAATCCAGTACGTTCCAACAAACTGGTTCGGAAACTGAGCAACGTGGGCTTGGACATCTCACTCAGCAGACTGATCTTGGACTTTCCCAGCATTAGACTAAAAACTGTTCTGATGGGAGGTTACACATCATCCACCCTAATTCTCAACATTGGAGTACTTTCTCTGCCACAGTACCTTGCATCGCTTGGCATCCAGTCATTGGTCCAGCAGGGCACAAGACAGGGCAAAACGGCACACAAGCTGATGGATGCGCTTAAGGACACGGACGTCCTGCACTGGAAGCACAGCCTGTCGGAGCTGATCGAGATCAGCTTGGCTCAGACTACATCCATATGGAGGATGTACGGCAAAAGGTCGGACTTGTTTACATTGTAAAGCCGGCACAAAGTTTGCGGCACGCATCGCGATAGGGCTGAACAAATAATCGAATTCAAATCGACATTGCTGTGTGGTAGAAAAGAATTTTTAATTTACAAACTGCATTCAACTTCATTTCGGTCATTGGTAGGCTTGAATGAATGTATGTAGGTATGTGTGGGTGTGTATATTTATATATAGTCGTTACATGTTCAGGATTTAAGAAGTGCAGTCAATGTTTACGTATCACTGTTTCCTGACATGAGAGAAATAAACTTTCATGTTATTCATGGTTAATTTTCCTTTATTTAAAATAGGTCTGATAATTGATTATTGGTATACAGATCAATTTATTGCTTGCATTCGTTTAAAAAACAATATTCAGGACAAAAAAATTACAGTCGCATTATTTTTGTTCAGCCCTACTTCTCGGCATGTACATGCAATGACAGTGGGCTGTGAGCGAACCATTTCTAAAATACACACATTTGAAATGTAAATAACAGATGCAGTTCGAGTAATGATGATTTCAATAACTCAATTGCATTACAATCCGTAAAGAGGAATTGTCCTACTCTCGTCGTGTTTATATGTGCAGCACCATGGCTCTGCAGCAGGCCCAACTGCTCCTCCACATGAGCAGCTTGGAACCGGTCAATTATGGGGTCGAGCAGAACAACACGGAGGCCTTCGCCGTGGCTCTCTGCCATCTGGCTGAATTGCATGCTGAGCAGGTCGCACATTGGATCCTGTATACTGTACATGTGATTTATGCCCTGCTGTTATACAAAGCAGGGTGAAGGGAATCGACACCACTGTTCACATACCACATTGGCTTGTGCTACAGGGCCTGTACGCTGCCGTTTCAGACATCCTCCAGCATCTGAAAGATCAGTTTCCTGCTCACACACAGCACGCCAAGGTGTGTCCTCTGACCCGCCAGTCATTTCTCCATAAATCGAGTCCTGCATTCAGCTCGTTTTTACTTTCCAATGCAGCTCTGGATGCTGTGTGATCAAAAAATCCAGTTTCAGAGGCACATGATTGAGGGGCAATACAATTTGGCAGAGCAACTGGTCCCTTCCATTTCTGCTTTAAACAAAACAGAGGGCCTCTACAGGTAATATGAAGGCACACGTGAAGTTATTTCTCCCAAGTCGAGTTCAAATGTTGTATTCGTCGCCAGGAAAGTACAAGTTTTAAAAGTTCTCCATCGAACCACTGAGGCCTACAGCATCTTGCAGCGACTACAAGTGCACTGCGAGAAGACCAAATGCACAGAGATGATCATCAGGTAGGAAGATGCTGCTGCTATATCACCAAGCCTATCCCAATGCAAAATTAAAACCTGAATATGTGATGTGAACGTTTCTTATCATGAGAAATGTTGTGATATTTTAGTTGGAGGAATCACCAGGCGTTTTGTCTCATGCAGAGTAATGCTTTCCACGGCTGAGCTCCACTGGGAATCTTCCGGCTTCTCCACAGCCCTTCCTCTCCTTTTCCAAGCCTTGGCTCTGGCCCGACAGCACCACCTTCAGTCGCTGGCCTCAGAGACCCTCCTTCACCTGACCTTTACACAGGTCAGTCCAAACTCTTTTGCTAACAGTTGGGGTAAGTTATAAGAATAAGAAAACCTTTATTCGTCTCCCAATGGAGAAATTCCCAATTTACAGCAGCAAAGTTATGAAAGGAAGAAAGTTGGAGGCATCACCGCATATAATGTTTCATTTTTTTTTCCTTTTCGTAGTTGATGTTGGGCGTGCCTGAGCAGGCACTTCTTGTCCTGCATGAAGCCATTGAGCCTGTTCTGGCCCATGGAGCGCTGGTGGACAAAGGGCGTGCCCTGCTGCTGGCAGCGCGCTGTCAGATGGCTGTTGCTGGATTCAGGCCAAATAGACAAGGGCAAACAGGTGACACTCTCCGCCTCCCACACAGGCCCAACATGAGAGTAGCTCTCCAGCCTCACACCCAGTGGCTACTGAAGGCCCTTTAAAGGGGAAATCAATTCAAAAATTTTCTTTCCAATATGTTCGATAAGCCCCCACTAGTCAAAAGACTGATTAAAGTTGCATTTGTGGAATCTGAATTCAGCGGCAAAATCCTCTCTGCTATGCCATTAACTTTCAACTGAAAAAGACTTCACAGTGCTCGAGCTTTGAGCTTGTGAATGTCACACAACCAAACCCAGAAAACAGGTGAGTCGGGATGTCACTGCATGATTATTGTAAAGAAAATGTTGGACTTTACTTCCCTTATATGCTTTTTTTTCTCTCCAATATCCTTTATATCCAAGTACGAGTACCCCACTTGTCCTCACTTGTAGGACAACTTTGGCATGTGAGTAGGACAAGAACATGTTACTCGTGAGACAAAACTTCACTAGTTGATAAATATATGCAACTAGTCTCGTACTGCTAGTGACTTTCGACAATTTGCATGTTTAAATCTCGGACTTCACTAGTAATATTATGAGTGCACAGATATCAACTAGTGCACCGCTTTTCCTCGCTGGTAATATTTTGTTGTCCCACTAGTATGCCAAAATTGTCCGACTGAGAATAATAAGTGTACTTCACTAGCATGTGAACCTGAAGCTGCATACCAATGACAAGAAGGCGACTAGTGTGGGACATGTGCCTGCTAGTTATGCCTTGTGTTATTAGTGCAGCACAATGGCTTACTATTAAGATTTGATTGGAAACTAGTACTGTACACTACAAGTGGCCCCAGTAGTGGGACAGAAAAGCCCTACAAGTACACTCAATTGCCTTACAAGTGAGGACAAGGAGAATAGTAGTACATGAACTTTCATATCAAACATATGAAATAAATGCTCAAATGGCTTTCCATAAGCAATTGACTGTCTCCCAACAGATTTGCATGTTGTGGTTTCGGCGGTGGACATGTTAAATGAGGCTGCAGTTTATTTCTCCAAGCTGAACTGCAAGGAGCATCTGCGGGAGGTCCACTACCTGCAGGCTCAGCTGTACCATTCTCTGGGACAAACGTCACAACGCAACAAAAGTGCCATGCTCTTTCGCCTGTTGGACCAGGACCTGCAATCACCAGCACTGCCGCTCTCCATGCGCCTCTAACTCTCTTTGAGCAAATAAGAAGACTAAACCAGCCACTAGATGGCAGTAAGGCTCTATTCTTCTTGGTTCTGCTCCCAGCCCCTTGACCTTGAACATGTATTGATACCAACAAGAGGAGAATGTGAATCGCATGCTGTTGTGTTCCTGCATCAACCAAACGCACTCAGCACTGTGAGTTTTGCGTAGAACCAAAGTATACCTTCCACCTCCACTTCTAAAACAACAATTTCGAATGGTGTTCAAGTCGCCTCCAGGTTAGAATGATGACACATTGCTCAATATAACATGGTTTCATTGCTTGCGCCACAACAGTGAGCCCAGGTGTCAGACACTGCTCGATATGGCGAAAGTTTATCATGCATTGTCATTCCACTGCAGCTTTTTGATGAATGGAGGTAATCTTGCCGTTTCACTGGCCTGGATAATATTCACAGTCTGCCAGGAGAATACTGATGATGAATCCACAGGAGGAAATTGTGATTCCACTTAGAATGTAGACATAACTAGCCGCTGTCTGGATTCCACTTATCTTTGGCACGCTGTGTGAAGAATGATAACGTCTATCTTCTCTGACTGGACATTTTCCCCCCTCAATATATAAATATGTTAATAGTTTTGTCATACTTTGTTCATCTTCGTCTGACGTATAAGAGTTGGAGACAACTAAAAGCTTTTACCGTATGTACACTGTATGAATAAAATTATTGAAGCTTTTAATGAATCAGGTTGTGGTAGACCCTTAAATCACCCTAATTACCTCTTTGCTTCCGAAGTTGTGGAAACAATTTGGGGGAATTCACATTGTTTTTCCTGACTGTGCCACAGTGCATAAATTCAAGATCCATAACGGGATGCTTGGAGGAGTTTGATATGGAACTACTCAAGAACCCTCTGGTCAACCCCATCAAACACTTTAAGAATGAACTACATCAGTATTTCCCAACCTTTTCTGGGCTTAGACACCTACAATCAAGTCCGGAAATATTGAGACATCAACACAATTCCTAAATTTGTAGTTTGTGTTAATGCCTGGTAGTGCGAAAGGTGTATCATGTTACCAACAGAAAACAAGGAATTCCTGAAAGTACTGGTTTTTAGCAGGGTAATGCCAATGCTATTGATTATGAGTAGATAAGATTGCCTGAAGCACTTCAAAAATCATCCTGCTGCCTTTGTCAGCACTCACATCAATAAATTCAACAGAACCAGTTGGCGGCCCTGCATGCATGTTTGCATGCCCACACCATGGCCCTCTCATCAGGCTTCACTGTTGAGGTGGTAGTCTGCTCCTAAAATATTGGGACATCCATGCATTTCTCATGTTTTTTTTAACTCTAAAACACCACCACAATGGAATTGAAATGAACGGAACAAGGTGTGCTTTAAATTGGGACTTTAATCTTTAAGCATTTACCGGTACGTCCAAATCAGGTGAACGGTGGAGGGAATACTATACATAAGTGCCTCCTAATTTTTGAGGGACCAAAGTGATGGGACAACTGCAGCCATTCAATGGCCAGATGGTTGCTTATATCTGGCTGCCAAAGGAAATGGTTTTCTTATCATTTATTCATGATTTGACCGCTGACTGGGATCGCCTCCAGCACTCCCGCGATTCTGGTGAGGATGAGCGATTCAGGTAATACAGTGATGGCTCTTTTATATACTTCAAGAGACTTGTTGAAAAGATGTCAAAACAAGACTGTACGAAACTAACATATTGACCAAGGCATGCAAAAAGAAAGCCAAATAACTAAAGGATTAAGAAATGAACAAAGATGGTAAGTTTTGTCTCTGTTACATAAGCAAAATAGTGCTGTGACTTCGTCCCAGTATCACCATCAACCATCTCAATGTAGACTGCACATTACGAGCTAACATTAAACAGCAGGCCAGCAGATGAAACACTTTGGTATCTGTTTGATTTTTTTTTTTTACACAGAGCAGGTATTATGTACCATCATTAGCCATGCAGCAAGAAGTTGGTCCTGTTTCGACAATGATCATTTCCTATCAGCAGAATTATGCATTTGCTGTCAAATGCTAAAATTGATACCAACCTCAATGTTTCTGTCAGCTTGGTCTGTCTAAACTGGGGGACTCATTTGTTTAGGATAGAAAGATAGTACAAATTTTCTGGTAGAGGCTAAATTTGACACGAAACAAACGAAGCATTGGAGTTGTTACTGTGAGTGGCTGTTAATTAGTCCATACAGATCTCAGTGTTTTAATAGGCAAACACTGTTGTTAACTTACATGAACATAATAAAGCAACCGGACCAAATATAGCCTGCTCTTTTTTTCTTCGGGGTGCGATCGAAGATTTTTGAACAACAACGGCAACTTTCTTCAAATCAAATGAGGGCTTTACCAAGTTTGTACACCGACATGGTGCCATTCATGCTAGCACTGCCACTGCACCCACTCACAGCTTTCCCCAGTGTTGCGGAAGACTGAGCGCTTAATGCTGTTTAAGGTCTGCTAACGAGAAATAAAAACAGCTTTGCTTAGCCTTTGTTGTAATCTTCAAAGTGTTCATGTTTGTTTAAATATATAATACTGTGTGTGTGTAAGGAGATATGGGAGTGCAGTGGTCCCCAACTTTTTTTCTAACAACGGACCAGTTCGTGAACCGGCCAACCATCCGTTACATCCCTGCTATGGTGATAATGTACAAATGGTGAACATACTGTATGCGCCGCTACAAAAAATTGTTTTTTAAAATATATCTCTCTGACCTGGTACCGAGAGATACGCAGGCCAGCTCCGGGCCGAGGACTGGTGGTTGCGGACCAATGCAGTAGGGGGCCTGTGCCCCAGTTGAGCTTTATGCCTAATAATGCCCCTGCTTTTAGTGCAGCTGAGCACTTGCATGAGTGAAAATAAAAATTGTACAATCAGCAGTAACTCTCAGCTGAAATGTGACTTTAAATAGAGCGTCTTTGCTTTGGAATCTAATGAAAGAGGCAGGTTGATATTTTGGTGGTTGGTCTCACTCACGGACGGTGAAATATTATTTGTTAGTTCGGAGCTTTGATTTGCACTAAAATTCTGTGGATGGGTGATATGGATAAGATTCCTGCTTTGAAGTGAACTGAAGTGACTGTGCTCTGTCTTGCTCTGTGATAGTGATCAACTAGACTTTAAGAAATTGCAGGCAATAAATCAGATGGCCCAAACATACACTGTGACAGCTGTTTTGTTTTATTTTGTTTTTCCTCCAGATAATGTCTCTGGGATTGTCATGTCATTACGAAATAATGTATGCAGGGCATTTTGACCTGGACATCTTCAACAATGGTCCATACAGGCCCTTCTGAATTGGAGCACCAACATCAGGTACAGTCTGGTTGAAATGTCTCAAAAGTGCTTTTGCTAATGTTCAATGTTGTTTTTTACTTTTTTTTTTCTAACTCCAAGATGGTGGCCAGTTTCTAACTACTGATTCTGTGGCTTCACCATAGCAGTCTGTAACTTTTAAGTTGCTTCATTTTCCAATCAAAATATAAAAACAAATTTAGTGTCCACAATCTAGAAAAACATGTATTTGAAGCGTTTAATGACAAATCTGGTCACAAACATAGATAAAAAACAATGCATGGTTTAGAAAAATATACAGTTTGTACAGATGTTTTCAGAAATAACAAAACATAAACTTACCAGCTATTCTCTATAATCCATGTACAATTTATTGTAAAGTAATAATTTAATGCTTCTGCTTGTGGTAAAGAAACGACATGACCATGTCTTCAGACAATCGGGATGACATCACAGATAAGAAGGAAGATAATGGCAGACATTTAACAGGAAAACAATCTGAAGTGTCTTTATTTTATGAAGAGCAGCTGCTTGCAAGTCTGGTTTCTTATCACCACTTGCAGTATTCGATGGCTAAAAACGTTTTTTGAAACACTTGAAATAAGATTCAGTGTCAGTTAATTTCACCACAACTCTTCACGTTTCAACTTTGAGCATATTGTGTCACTGTATTTTACATTATCGGGATTTGTGATGTGTATTTTCAAAAGACAGATTTTAAACTCATTTACATGGATTTGGATACTGTCCAAATCAAGTCAGCTTTACTCAAACAGCGGTCAAATATCGGAAACATCACCATCCTCTCCTAAGGGCTGAATAACATCAGTGAGTGTTGAGAAGAGACATTTCATAACAGATGTAACTTTTTACTTCACGAAACAAAGTTCAAAAGAAAAAAAACAAAAACAAAACGTAGCAATGTTGGATATTTAGTGTTTGTCTCACAGAGGTGTGTATGAAAACCAAATTATCCCTTGTGTAATTTTCAGGGAGTCTGGAACCACATTTAGTATCCGGCAGGGTATCCTCCTTTCCTGGGATCCGATTCTGCACATAGATGCTCTCCCTGTCGCATCACCACCTGAACCACAGAATCTGGATCGCTCTGCAGCTCTGTGACATGGTTCTTCCAGATTAGGCCTTCTAGGATTCTCTAGTATAATCACACATACGCAGGCAAGTCTTATGATACGTGTGCTTTTGAGCTAGTGGTTCTAGGCGGTTGCTATTTTGCAATTAACGGCGCCATCGTCGGACAAAGCATCTTGAATGATTCTTATTTCTGTGTACGCCATGTTAACCGTGGTAGATTACATCCAAAACACTTTCTATGTATTTCTCTTGATTACACTAGGGAAAGATTTGCACAATAATCCAAGTGCCATATTGGCATCTCGATACCTTCCCTCACCTTTTCAAAATCTTGCTCCACTACCGTCATATTTGGATTGAGCTGATTGTGCACTCGTGGTTCGGTCACCGCTTTCCTTAGGTTGTACTTAAAGAACAAAGAGTTCAAGATGACCTGTTCACAAGACAAAAAGGAGCATGGAATTTAAAGACCGTGACTCAATGTGACTACACGGGAGTGGTCTTACCAAAGCAGTAGCTGTGGTAATTTTTGTGCCTCCAGATGCTCCAACAACCATTTTGACTCTTTTGTCTTTATCAAAGATTATTGTGGGAGACATGGAAGACAGAGGCCTCTTTCCTGTAACAGATGAACACAATGCCCCGGAGTGAAGAGAGGTTTGTTTCAGAACATCTCTCTCAGCTTTCTGAAGATAACAAATGCCCATAGGCACACATAAGGCATAAAAGCACAGTGATTGTGAAAAATAAGCCCCATCAATCCTTCGTTACAAAACACCAGACGAGCACACGCGCTCCATGATAATGACCTAAAGTGGACGGGTCCCACCTGGTTGGATGAAGTTGTTAGGCGAGGGAGGGATTCCAAAGCCGTTGGTTATGTATGGAGAGCTGAAGTCATCCATTTCATCATTGAAGATGATTCCAGTTGATCGAGACATGACTTTGGACCCAAAGCTGGATGCACAAACAAGTATACGAATTAAGCAACAACATTATTTATACCTCGGCCAAATTTCGAGGTGATTTTTTTTTTTTTCATCGTTGAGTGGGTGTCTTTTAGCTAGAAATGACTTATTGTTTTCACATTTTCACCAAAAGTATGACAATTATTCATATTAGTCCTCAATAAATGCATATCTATGCTCTAAATTTGGAGTTGATTAGAACGTGCCAAATTGTGCTATTCATTACAAGAACCCCAAACGATGAAGCTCCTAAACTCTGTCATAACTTCTCAGTGTTTAACTTCCATAGTTTGGAGATACTCATTAAACCATTACAAATTCAGTTTAACTTCAAATTTGGCGATTGGAGGAAAAATGCAACTTCGTCTACAAATATGGCCACAGAAACACTCAGATTGACTATGTAGGTCAAATGGAAGTGAACGTTGGGATTCATTCCGACAAGGCAGATAAGAATCTTACTATAGATTAATAGTGCTGGTGGCTGCCACGGCGCTTCCATCTTCAGCTATCACCGACAGATGAGCTGTTCCGTGGCTGTCTGGGACAAAATAATCCGGCTCGTAGTAAATGTCTGGATGAGTGGTATCATCTGTAATTTTCTTCCTGATGCCTTCAGCAAAAAATGTTGATGTCATGTTTCGGATGAGCTGAGAAAAGCCAAACAGTTTGCAGTTAAAGACTATGAGCACACAAAATAGGAATATTTTTGATGATGTTTTTTTCTTAAGTCAAAACCAATGCTTTGGTTTGTTGTAATATATATATTATTGTTTTTTTTTGGGGGGGGGGGGTTTATGTTCGTATTTTGACATGGGCAGCATGCTGGTCAACTGGTTAGCACATAGGCTTCACAGTAGAGAGGTCAGGGGTTTGAATCCGGGCTCCCTAGGTGTGATTGTGAGCGTGAATGGTTGTTTGTCAGGGTGTGCCCTGCAATTGGCTGGTTGTGATCATTTGGAGGCTTACATCGGTGATATTGAGAAAACGCGGGTCCCCGAGTCTGCTCCTCTTGGCGTAGGCAAAACGGAAAGCCTCTATGATGCGATGATACGTTAGGGTCTTCATCTCAGCTGTGGAAACACTTGCATTTGTGAAGTTGTACCCTGAAAAATATCCACGGGGACAAAAGTCTGCAGTGAATAAACAATCACATTTTCTTGGCTTCTTTATCAATGTGGTAAAAGCCAATTTCAGACGCTTCCATAGCATTGATGGGTCATGAAAGTGTTCACTCAAGTCAAATAACAGCAACGAATGAATGAACGGGAACATGTTCTTCCTTCGTCACCGGTGAAAACGTCGTACAATTACTGTTTGGATTACACGTTTTCATACAGGGAGTGGATTATCATTCAAACACAGATTTGAGCAATATCTTAGGTTTCTGTGACCAAAACAGGTTTGGAAACATTCGAGGAACGACCGCCCACTTCAGGAAAGCTGACATCCTCCCTTGCGCATGACTACACAAAAGCTTGGCCAGGCTGCTCACCGTTCACTATGTTGAGAATGAGTGCCAACACTGGGCCACTGGAGGGGGCGTCTGGGACATACATGGTGTATTCCCCAATACTCGTCTTCAGAGGATTTTCATTCAGTACTGGGTGGTACTCCAATAAATCATCCAAGGTGATAATCCCACCTAAATCATTGATAGAGGTTTCAGTTGATTGGAGTTAATTGTTGTTGTGTTCTTTACATGCACTTTTTTTTTTTTTTTTTCATTTGTAATAGATAATAGATGAACAAAACCTGATGCCTGGATGTCATCCACGAGTCTCTGTGCCATTGAGCCATTATAGAACACGTTAGGACCCTCTTCTGCTATTCTCTGGTATGTGTCTGCCAGCTTTGGGAATCTTACAATGTCATTTTCCCTGAGAATGTTTTTTTGTGAATCACAAAACACTTCACTGTAAGATGAGAGGAGAAGAAAACGTGTTGTGTACGAAAAAGTTCAGTAAAATTCAAAGTGGATTTTTTTTAATGAGCCAAAAGAAGTTGTTCTTGTTTTGGCTGGTTCATACAAATGGATGTAAAGTGACTTGAATGAATATAAAATCACAACCAAAAGATGTTTTCCTCAACATTGTCCGAGTATGTTTATATCACAAGCTATACCGGATCTTCTCTATGGAATGTTATAAAGCAAGACAGTGTGCCACCAGTTAGGTTGGTGACATTTTCTCCTTACCAAAGGTTAGCGTTTCCTTGAATGAAGTCCTTGCTTTTTAAGATGGCGTGAGCCAAGGCTTTCCCAATTGGAAAGCCTTCACGGGCCAGGGCAATGCTTGGCTCAAACAGCTCTCTCCATGGCAGCCTGCCATGTCTCTTGTGTGCCATCTCATAGCCGCGAATCTCGCCGGGGATGGCTATGGACAGTCCACCTGCCATGTGCAAGCGTTATTAGTGTTTTGAATATCATATGGCTGTTCTTTGTTTGCACTGCTACTTACTGCTACTATTATATTACATTTTAGCACCATTCCATGAAATCATTACTATGCTAGCCATATTAAAATGCTGCTTAAAGGGTGTTGCTCAATACAAAATTAAATACCGGTAACTCAAAACACACTTTTTCCCAAACAATTTCCAGGAAGAAAGAACACACAGTATCGGGTGTCCTCTACGTCCGCTATAACGTTGGTGCCAAACTCAAGGCGCCGGGGCCAGATCTGGCCCGCCACATCATTTTATGTGGCCGCGAAAGCAAATCGTGTGTGTCAACTTCAATGATCTTTGCTAACATCTGTACCGAAATGTCAAATTGTCATGTGCGATAACGTTGAGATTTTGCAAGAAATATGTTCCACTTTTTACACTCACTTGAACGATAATTGAACAAACAATAAATAATTGACTAGTAATCCATCAATTTGTTGTGTACAAGTAATTATACAATTTTAATGATTAAACCTTTATTCAGTTCCACTGTCTCCGAGGGAAGACATAACTCCAAAGTGGCCTGTGACAAAAATGGATTTGACACTCCTGCTCTATAACTTTTGACACTGCCACACAAGGCGCATGTGGTCATTTGCATCCGCCCTATCCATCCTGCCGAAAGAATGCCCAAATAGTGCTATGCCAAACACAAACACGGGAAACTGAACTGCAACGCCTTGTGGAAACGCAGCAACAGTCAAATTGGCACGTGATTGTACCTGTACGAGAAAGTTGTGAGTTGTTCCCGAACATGTCCTGAGTGGCGTTCTTGGGTGCTGTCTCCCTTGCATCAATGGTTTCTACTCCCCCTGTTGAGTATAAAATGTGAGCAGTGGTCAATTTTTCTCATTAAACTTCCCTAAGATGTGATAAATAATGAGGCACACCCACCCGAAGAGGCATTGTAGATGACAAAAAAGACCCCTCCTCCAATGCCCATGCTGTGTGCATTTAAAAGGCCAACACACAGCAAGGCACCAATAGAGGCATCAACCGCTGAACCGTTTTTCTTCAAAATGTCCCTACGGACATGAGAGAAGTTCGTAGGTGTGTGTGCACTTGCGAAAACTGTAAATAGCACATTTGGTAAACAAACACCTCCTTACCTTCCCACTTCTGAACACTTCCCAGCATCAGCAGCGACAGCAGCCTTGAAGAAGAAGTGGCCTGAAGCGGGTGTCACGTTTTTCTTCCCCATGCATATGAAGAGGAACAGGCCAGCAACAACCACCAAAAAGACCACCAGACCAGCAATCAGAGGCTTGGCAATCATTTTCCTGCCACGTGAATTCAACCAAGACCATTATCAGACCAGGTTTGATGACTGAGACAAGCCAAGAGAAGTTAGTTGTTATTAATTAATTCCTCAGATGTGTGTCTAGTGATAGCAGAGCATTTATTTACCGTCATTTGTTGTATTTGTATAGACACTGTACGTTCTCAAGCTAGTGGTCGACTACATATCCATCCATTTTCGATATGCTGTTCATTAGGGTTGCAGATAAGTTGTCGCCTATCCCAAGTGACTTTGGGCAACAGGCAGGGTACACTCCGGACTGGTCACTGGTCAAGTGCAGGGTTTGTATAGACACACAACCGTTAGCATCCAATGACGATTCAGAGTCTTCAATGAACAAAGCTTTTTTTTTTTTTTTTTTGTATATGGGAGCCAGAGAACTTTTAGAAAACACGTGCAGGAGTGGGAAGCACACACAATTATCATGCAGGTAGGTCGAAACCATTTGAACTTTAGAAATGTGAGGCAGGCGTGGTAACCAGTCAGCCAACGTGCTGCTACTACAGATCCACTTCCGCCCCAAATCTGAATGCATCGTTAGATCTTGCCATCTTTTCAGACATCAGTCATTGTTCTTTTTGAAACTAAATTTAAATTTGAGCTGGTATTAGCAAACATTGTAGTTTGGGGCAAGATGTCTCCATCATCGTGGGGTGAGTTGGTCACATTACATGCCAAGAATGGGACAATGACAGATGCACTTCAGGCAAATTGGGTTATGTATGACAGATTTGCTATCTGGATAAACAGTCTGACTCGTGAGGAAGTTCATTTGTCAGATTTTGTTTGAATGCATCTTCCAGTTGTTGGAACTATGTACATATTTCAGGTCATATTTAAGGTAAGCTATTTTAACTTTTAAATTGAACTAATACTGATGTTAATGTTTGGAACTCAAAAGTGAAGCTATATGAGATGTGCTGCCAGATGAAACTTTGATTTGTGTTATTTTCTTAGCCAGCAATGGCAAAGGTAGCAAGATCATCGTCTATTTCGCTTATTCTGCTCTCGTCTCACACCAATTAATATACGTTAGACTGCTTCAGCCCTGCCAATATTGGTGATGCAAGCTTCTCAACAGCATGTTCCCTTGTGGGTTACCTCATATATTCCGTTTGCCTCTCATGCTGAGGCTGGGGAAGACTAATAATGTGGCTGCCGCGGCTCCTGCTGTTGCCGCTTTGATTGAATCTAAATCTAATCACAGTGGTCCTGTTCTGAATCTCCCAGGTTCAAAGTCTGCCGCAGAAATACCAAAGATCATTCACAGCAGAAGAGTGCAATTCTACATCTTTGTTACGCAAGACCGCAATTCTCATTTGTCTTTTTGTGAACACGCCACTGTCAAAGGTTAAGTCTGAAGATGGTTACAATTTCATTATTTTCCATGACATACTGTTTTGTTTGTATCGTCGCTGTCCTTTGAAAAACACATATGTCCATTTTGTCATTTTAATTTTGACTTTAATGGGATTGTCCGGAACGCAATTCATTCGATGACTTTCATTCTCTTACGCTTTTCAAGTGCACTTCATCGTGTCTGCTTGTTGTGGGTTGGGAGGGGACGCGGGGGTGGGAGGGGGTGAGGGGATGGGAGGACCAGTATCCAAGTAGGAGGGGCACGCTGCGATTGGTCAGACGTTCCACGCTGCTCAAACCTAAACAGCGGCGTACAAACACTTCGTGACAAAGCTTTCCGAGCATTGTGTCCTCATCGCCGTCATCACCTGAGCCCCCAGAAAGGAGGGACGCGTCAGAGTATAAATTAAGAGCAAATCCACGTTGATTGACAGTGAGGAGGAGAAAGTGTCGTTGTGGTGGACATTAGGGGCTTTAATGGTGACCGGCTGCAGAGGCAGACAGCACGACGCCGTGTGAAAAAAAAAAAGGAGGCTGATCATGGGTCAGCGCTGCTGCTAATCCCGTCTGACTTGGAACAACAACAACAACAACAAGGCAGCCTGCATCTGCGCCACGTATCGATATGGGCTCCAAACTGAGCAGACAGAACAGCTTGGACAATGAGAATTTCTCCAAAAAGAGACGCGGGCTCCTCGATGTCGCGGCGGAAGGCGACAGTCGAAGCGGCCGAGCAGGCGGTGACTTCCTGTTCGCCCTTATGATGAAGACGGACAAACTGCCAGGGATGCTGCGTCGGACCAACCACAGCCCCTACATGAGACGGGTGGCGTGGATCAGGGAGATCCAGAAGCTGCTTCGAGATCGCAGGATGGAGCAGGCGACCGACGTGCTCAGATTACTGAGGAAGGTGAGGTGAAACACTCAAGGGAGACTTGCTGAGACGTGTCAGCCTGCTGCTGTCCCATCTCGGGCCTCTGATGTTACTGATGCAATCCAAAAGCAACAGATTGCCACCAGACATGTCTGTGTAGATAGAGGGCTGTGTAAAGTCTTGGCCTTTTATAAGAGTTCTTGCAGCATTGCTGTTATGACCATAAAATAATATTATTATTATTGCAACCAGACTACGTGCTCCAAATTGGTCACATGCTTAAATGACCACGAAGAATGTTTTTATTTTGTGGACGTTAATTAGGGCAGCGCAGTATATGTGTGTTGTATCAATTAATGTCTGCTGTTGTCATTGTGTCATGAATGGAAGATTTTAAATTTCCCACTTGTGAATGTGTGTGAATTGTTGTTTTTCAAGATCACCCAGGACAAGTGCTGTAGAACAAGGATGGATGTATTTTGGTATAATGGCAATGCAAGGTATATTTTTGTGTGGTTGGGGGTTTCTGTGAGGAAACAAACATCTAATTTGAGGTGAAAAATGGGATAGCCTCCTCGATGAAACCAGCGTCACCATCCAACTTCATCCTTTGACGATGCAATGTGCACACGTAGCCACCTCCTGATGTGTTTGTTTATTGTGATTGAAAAGTAGGCCACTGACAAACTGTGGCGTAGACACATGGTCAAAGTGAAGGCACAGCATGTGACTCACCACAGCGGTCACTTTCGCTCATCGTCAAAAGTGTTGATTTTAGAAAGGAAAACTTGCCCTCCAAATTAAGAAGCGCATCATGGCCTCTGACCAGACACTCATCTTGAAATGAGGGCAGGGTTGTCCTCCAACATCATATCTCCCCTGCCCTCTCGTCTTTTGTCCTAGTTTCTTCCACTTTCGAGAGTTCTACTCTGGTTGGGCTTTTTCAACAGACTTCCAACACTACATGCGCTCCATAATGGCCTGTGCTTTTGCAAAGAAGGTCATTGACGAGGAAATCCGGAGCTGTCGCTGCCCTTTTCTACTGCTGTCTGTAGTGATGTAGCGACATGAAATCATTGTAATTGTTGATGGTCCTTAACCTATTCCTCACCAAGTATGATCCTTTGTGCATGTTGCTCAAAGTAAGACACATGAACATATACCTTGTTTCGGCACTGGATGCTTTCAACATGCCGTAGCACCTTCTAGCACCGTTAAAACTGTAATAGTCATTGTCTTATTTTTCTTTTTGAGCAGAATGGCGCGTGAATGTTGAGTGGATCATGTTCTGTCATTTGTGTGTTTGCTTCACTCAGCATTAATCCAAAATAAGCTTCACTAGTATCAAGTGATGCAATTGTAAATTCGAATAAAAATGGTGCTTTCCATACAGTATTCCGAAGGGAAATTAAATGATTTTTTTCCTCCCAATTTTTATTGTTTTGCTTGCAAGCTTGCACTTATAATATGGGTTTTAACACATTTCTGTTAATGTCGTATCAACAGAAGTAATCATTCGAGGAATATGAATTGAGCAGAAAAATTCAACCGTTTTTATCCATCTCAGGAAGTGGTTATTTTTGCCATTTTCTGTCAACTGAAAATGAGATCACAGTTGCTCAGGGCTCAGGTAATGGCCAATTGTGGCTCACCGTGAGGAGCCGTGATTGGCACCGTCGTCTACCCTGATCGTTTGTGGACATGTGTGCCCATATCTGCTGCCGCCAGGGGGATGGTTTGAAAAACATCATGAAGAATAGGATAATAATAATAGTAATAATGTGCAAGCTGGTCTGCCAGGGGCGTGTAAAAGAAAATGCAATTTGTCTGAACCGCCAACGTGTTGCAACGCGGTCAGCTAAATTCCCAAGCGCAAAAATCGAAATGGGTCAGTTTTTTACACCCGAGCTGTCGCTGTCTACGAAAATAGAGCCCAAGGAGTTTCGAGTTTATATTGGAAAAGTTCCCATCCTTGTTGCTGGAGGTTGCATTACTATTCCCCCGTTTGGCTGGCCAATTTGGCCGGTAGTCAACCGGGATTCCAGCCATATACAGTAGTTCATCTGAGATATGTTTTAAATAGCTATAAAATGGCTCCCATTAAACTTCAGATCGAGTGCAGTCTTTGATGGCAACCAACGAGTTTTATCCGCACTTGCACTTCTGATGAAAAAACACTTTTAATTATGTTAAGCGCACCCCTGGTGGTATTTTTTTAAGTTATCCAAACACCTGTGTGTGGATAGTAAACAAAATCCCCATAAATTATAAGAATATATCAAGACACATCTGAATTCAAATCACAAGATGCTTGTAACACATTCCTTTTTCAGTCATCATTAGAAATTGAATTTAACTGCATTCATCAGACAGTCATCAACGGTGGCGTGATCTGAAGCATCTCTCATCTCTGCCTCCGTCGAGCTTAGCTGACTTCGACAGCAGTATTTATTTTTAGAAACGTGTTTACATGATGGAGGGTTTCAGAACATCTATCCAGCAGCTATAAGAATGATAAACATATATAGCACAGTATACTGAATGTAGATGGAAAGCCCAAAAAAGAATTGTCTTATTACTTTGCAAATATAACCCAATTAACTGTTTGGCACATTTAGCGTCTCCTGTGTAAATCTTTCATTTCACAGTCCTCGTTTCTTGTATTTCGTAATGTTGGGCAGCTAACTATTGATTTATACAAAAAAACTGGATACAGGTAGTTATTAGCTCTAACTGTCTTATCAGTGGTGGGCAGTGAGTTTTGGACCTGGGCCTTCAAAGCGTATTTAGTGACCTAGTCCATCTCTTAATAATGTCATCATCTCACAAAATACAAAAAAAGGGCTATAGAAATGACTATGTTGACACTGAAGTGCGTATTACTAAAAACAACAGATTCATGGATGATTGTCGAGTCCACCTTCCAAGCATTCTCACCTGCCGTTGGTTGAAGTAGCCTCATAAAGTCCACTGTTTCTTGAAAAAAGCGTCTTGAAAGTGAATTCTCTCATTTCATCGTCCATCGTAAAACAAGCTCTGGGGGCACAGTTGAGCTGACCCAATCAGAAATGATAGTAGCTGAATCAATGAGTAGTCAAGAGAAACTCATTCTTACACAAAGCCTGTGATTGCTTTTCCAAAGTGAATCTACAATCTGATTGGCTAACAGAAGAACCAGCGATTCCAATATCGTGTGCGTGTCGCCAACACCTGCAATCAATGTCCAGAAGGCATTGGACAAATTAATATGTGCATGGAAACATATCAAACCTGAAATCTGATTGTACCAAAAAAAAAAAAAATGCTGCGCAGCTAAGACAGGCTATGAAATGAAGACAATGAAATAAATAGGTCTGAGCTTCAGGTAGTGTTTGAGCAAACAGAAGGCTTTGAAGGCCCGGTATATTGTAGATATTAGGTGTCCTATTTTTATGCTCAGCGCAAGTCTAACACAAAGCGTCGTCTAATTGCTGGGGTGTTTTCTCTTTTTGGTATTTTGATAGACATTGTACCAGTTGAATTGGGCGTAATGAGGTGTTTGCTATATATTCTATACTGTATTCTTAATTCATGTAAATTCGTTTTTGTGCAGATGCTAGAAAGATTCTTGGTTTAAAGTTGGATTTGTAAGTGGCATTTTAAAAAAATCTGTCAACTCCACTCTGGTTCTGTCACTCTACTGTTGCCCTATTAAAAGGAGAGCCAGTAATGTGGAGCTTCCAGCCTCCCACTCAAACTTTCTATTGTGCTGTGTAAAAAAAAAAAAAAAAAAAAAAAAGAAAATAAACAAATGTGTGTGCAGTCGTGTATCGGTCTCCAAAGTTTACTGCTTATTAAAGTTGCATGCTCTGCTCAAGTGCTTGTCATTGTCGTTTGCCTCATTAGGACCGTAGTAGTGGACTTGTTGATGAGGAGATTTGCACTGCTGTATCACTCCTGACTGTTGCCTTTCTTTTTGCGCTTTTGAAATCTTGCTTTGCATTGACACTTCCAATTAGTTTTTGATCGACTTTTCATTTGCCTGCACAACATAAGATCTAATACAAACGGCATCAGAGGGGAGACATACAGGCTCTTCGAGGGGGGGCACAACGCCGAGGCGTTCAGAAATCCTCCTTGGCAATAGTAAGCTTCACTGAGTTGAAGTCCTGAGCACGTTTGACAGGCAGAGCATGCCAGCCCGTCCAAGCATGCAGGCGTACGTGGCAAAAGAGATCCATTGATAAGGCAGCAGCTCCTACCACCCGCAAGCAGATAAAATGCGCAGAGAAAGTCCTCTCCCCGCAGCAGCTTAAATTCAGAGGATGTAACCAAGTCCCAGCTGAAATGCCTGACACCAAAACACACACCCACAAACTGGGCGTGCCAATAGCAACATCCATCCGGGGGCCGTGTCCGCCCGCAATAGCGTCTACCAGCTGAGCCGGCAGGATGCTTCGCTGAGCACCGCAGGCCACCAGCAAACATCCTTTGCATCAATTCTGATGGTTTGTTGTTGCCAAGGCCATTAAGGACCAGCAGGTGGTCTGATTCTCACCACGGTTCCATTGTCGTTGCTGTCGGTCGTGTTCTAACGTTATTGATCACATCGGGGTGACCAATTGTGAGAGATGCGGTAAATGACGAAACGTCCTTCCCTGACTGAAAGTACAGGTTCCTGATGAATGTCTCTCTCTCCCTTTTTGGGTTACGGCATAGCTTTAGTTTTTAGAGGAGTGTGAATCAATTTAATAGCTACAAACTTAAATGTGTGCACTATTTGATTGAAAGTTGACAAACTTCAGGATTCTTATTTGGTGTGTTTCGCCATTTTGCACACTTTTGTGACTGTCATGTCATTGATTGTTTTTCTGTTTTCTTTTAGGATCTTGGACTGGAAGGTACCTCACTCAATGACATTTTATACAAGAACGCTGCCTTCCTCAATCTGGTGGATCCAATTTCGCACGAGCTGCTGCTGAGCTTGGCCCGAGAGATGCAGAATCCTAAGAAGGTCAGTTCATTCCCCGCCCCCTCTAAAGGTTTTTTTTTTCTTTTTAATTTTCTTTTGAACCGCCCCCCAGGAAGTAAACATTTTGTGTCCCCCAACTCCGGCGCGGCTAAAAATATTAGAATTTGCTTCTCACCTCTGCCTATCATTGTGTCCTTATCAGCATTAACGAAACACAAAAAAGAAGTATAGATCAACTTACAACAAAGAATAACTTGACTAACATTGTTTTTTAGTCTGTACCAATTTGCCTAAAATAAAAAATAAAATAAAATCCAGATTCAAACCTACTTTGACCAACTAAGTGAAACATTTGATACCGATTGTCTCATTCTCTCCGCCTGCTCCGGATTTGGAAATGTACTTCTTTGATGCCCTCACATGATAGATAGAATGCATTCCTCTTCTACAAGTTAACAAATGCACCTGTACAAATTAGCTACAATGACTCAGTCACGCTGCTGAACAGCCACCAACTTCAGAAAAACTTAGTAATTTACCAACATGAATGGTATTCACAATACCCGACTAGTGAATGAATGAATCCTCCCTCAGCCCATAATCCTTGCGTCTTGTTTGCACAGTCTTGCCTTAATCTGTGGTCGCTGCACGTTCCCAGTCCAAACAGCCAGAGCACACTCCTTCAATCCTATTTTGTGGCACTCTGAATAATCAAACCGCACATTCCAACACTACTTTGAATTTACAAACCGTTGGAGTGGCACAATGCACTCGGAGTGTATTTCTAATCTCTATTCAGTGCGCCAAGAAAAAAAAAACTACATCAGAATACTCTCTGTGCACGCTCTGACAATGAGCAAAATCCTATTATCATTCAAGAGCTATCTTATGGACTCCCAAATTAGTTTCCCATTGTTCATACCTAGACACTTAGACGGGTCGTCAGATACTGTAAATAGATCCAACCGAAGTCGTTATCCCGGTGCAATAACAAGACACAATTACATGTGTTATCTGCTTATAAGGATTATAAGAAAATAGTCCTTCTTGGAGTCGAAATGTACCATTGAGAGAGAGAGACAAAATACTTGCTGTCTAAAATGCAACTGACAACCATTCAAAAGTAAGACACTCACGGTTTGTTTTACTCAACCATGTGAAATGCAAAACTAGACCAATAGTACAAAGGCAGACCTTCAATCTGGTACAGTCGAGTGATTACAGTTCATGATTATTATTATTTTTTTAATGTATGTATTTATTTATTTGGGGGGCGGGGGCAGTGAAAAACTTCATAATTCTGCTTGGGACAGAGCCACCTATGCTATTCAGCATGTAGCATAATATTTGAACTGTTTTAAATTTGAGCTGTTTTAAAGTGCTCTATAAATACAGTTGAGTTGAGTTGAGTTGAACTGGACAACTACAAAGTAAATAAACGGAGCTGGGCATTCCTTCAGTCTTGGCGAAGACCTGTTTTGGGAAAAGAAAGACAAGAAGCTTTAAAAAAATGTAAAGTTTAGGCCAGTGGGCGTACGAAGTTGCTTTCCACCTATTGTCATTGAAAGAGGGGAGTACAACAATACGGTAGTTTAAATAGGCTACTGAACATTCACTGAGGCATTTGTTTAAATTGCAGCTTCAAGGTAGTGCATTTTACCGGCTCATTAGTTGAAATTTTAGTTGTTATCATATCATGGCTGAATGGTCCGATCTGGGTTATAACTGCGAAGTTATCATGAACAAAACATGTTTGCAAATAAGATTTAGTGAGTAAAAATAGTGAGCTGTTAAGTGCTGCAAATTAGGCATATTGCCTAAATGGAGATTGCAGCAATTACAGTACAAAACCTTTTTTTTTGATTTATGTAAGATTTCTTCTACTTTGGTCCACAGGATTCAGACACCATAAAGTCGTCAGATAAAATTTGCAGACAGCTGATCTACCACCTGACACCGCATTCAAAGTGGCTGAGGCAGAGCATGTCCAGACGGAAATCCCAGGCATGGTAAGCTCTTGTGTCCAGACATCAGTCCATGTCGAGCTGGAGAGATTTCCATCTCAGTCGCTGACATCGAATTAGGACAGAGCTGGCCACAGGCCCCCCCCTGATGGGGAAGCCACGGTAACCAAAGCTGTCAATCATCTTTCCTTTTAAGTGCTTGATTACGTGCATTGCTTGTCCATTGCCGCTGGCTTCTCCCCGCTCTCTGTCGCAGTCTCTCAAGCTTTCTTCACAAGTGGCATTGCAAAAAAAATTCCATCTGTCTGATGGGGTGGAAAAAAAAAAACGTGTACTTGAACAGTGCAAATCATGAAAATAGAAAATGCACTTTCTGTTGTTAATTCTCGCTGTGTTATACGAACAGTAAGTATCAGAACACTGCATATTCTGAGCTAAACCATTTAAATAAATGCCAGGAAGATTGAGACACGGCCATGGAGCCAGTTTTAATCCGCCCGAAATCATTCCCTTTCTTTATCCTCTCTCGGTCGCCCACCCATAAGGCGGCGACTGCCTCGTCCACGTGACGACGTATGACTCCACGTTCTTAACTGGTTCCCAAACTAGATTGATGTGTGCCAGAGTGCAGATGGATAGGAAGATGCTGAGCCAGGTCGAAAGGTCACGGCGACACATTAGTCTTGATTTTATTAATTTCAGATTTTTCTCTAATATTTATCAAAAGAACTTGGCAATTGAGTTTGATGGAAGCAGTTATCGGCACACAGGCTGTGGAGGCGTGCTCCAGTTATGGTAATTTCATGTTGGGGGACAAATGTGGGATCTTTACTCAGCAATTGCAAAAGCCACTATCTTCAAATTCATTCAACGTGGCTTACCCTCAAGGTGGTATGTTCTCTTTCATTTTTTTATTTTCTTATCGATGCTGTCCATTCCTTCTTACAAGCCAGCTAAATTGCGTCTTAACAGACGCCTCATACTGTGCCAAAGCTAAAAAAAAAAAAAAAAGTCTCATCCTTCATAATTGTATTAATATGGACTGTCAGGATGGGTTTCCTCTACATTTATGATATGGAAGAAATCTCAGCTCTGGTTGGAAAAGATCCCTCCAGACTAGATTGCCATCTCGTGTTTCTGAAAACGTTGAATGCAGTATAAAAATAGATTCTCGCCTCTTAGCTGCATGGATACAGTAAGGTGACCAAATGACTGCCCCTAAGGGTCACAACAAAACTGTCATGCATGAACTGACGCGAGACATCAGTTCAGTAAACACCAAGGGCCCGAACCGTAGACATTGTCACTTGTTATGAAAGCAAAGGTACGGTACTGTAGTTTGCTCGATTTTACAGTGCTTTTGGATTTGAGCTTGGCCCTTAGATTTGAGAGTGTGTTTTTGAAGTGTTTTATGATTTTAGCGTTTTGAATATGAACAGCGGTTTCTTCTTTTCTAAATCTAAATCCAACATGGGGCGGCCCGGTGATCCAGTGGTTTGCGCGTCGACCTCACAGTGCAGAGGTACCGGGTTCAATTGCACCTCTGGCCTCCCTGTGTGGAGTTTGCATGTTCTCCTTGGGCCTGCGTGGGTTTTCTCCGGGTACTCCTGTTTCCTCACACATTCCAAAAACACGCATGGCGGGCTGACTGAACACTTTAAATTGTCCCTAGGTGTGGGTGTGAGCGTGGATGGTTGTTCGGGGTGTCCCCCGCCTACTGCCCGAAGATGGCTGGGATAGCCTCCAGCACCCCCCGCAACCCTTGTGAGGATTAAGCGCATAAGAAAATGGATAGATGGATAAATCCAACTTAATTGGATGAAATGTATTGGACCTCAAGGTCCACTGTATGTTTATTATAATTGCCATCACAAGTCATGTGATTGATAATCAACAAATCCAGTGTTGCCTTGCGTTAAATTATTCCTGACTGTCGATCCTCGCATGGTTATAAGACTTTGGTTTTGCCTAAGAGATTTCTTTTACTAGGCAACATACATTTAATTGAAAGACGGATTGTCAATTGGATGTTAAATACATCAACAGGCAGTTTGCTGAGCATCCGCAATTCCCCGATAGCGATTATGTCATCATTAATCTCACTTTACTTCAATTCAGTGATTATTCCCTATCCTTGAGATGCTGAGTTTTTCAAGTCTACCTATAGGTACTTTTTCAACCAAGTTTTGATCATATGAAATAATTGCTTTGTGGTGTTGCTGTGAAAACATTCCAAAATGTTTCCGTGCTCAAAATTACCTTTGTGACACGTCTATCTGCAGATTAATCCGAAAGGATAAAAATGGCTTTTCAACAGGCTGACATCCATTTTTCATGCTTGCTGAGCTCAAAGACAGCGTAGTGGGGGGTGGGGCTGCAGTAGCTGCGTTATCAAACCCAATTTGCACATGCAGGAAGGGCCTGCACCAGGCAACGGACAGAAGGACTCTCGTGCCTGTGGTGAAGATTTTTTTCTGTGCAGGCCAGACGGTTGAGAGTACCAACTGGAAGAGCCTGCAATGTCATAATTGGATGGCTTACAATGGTGTATAAATCAAACATGTTGAACTCTTGCTGAACTGACTTTTGTGACATTTGATATTTTTTTTGACACTCTTTGAACGTGAGTTAGTCACACATTTGCAAAGCACTCCCTGTCATTGTGGCCACGGAGCACTATGAAGCATCAGAAGTGACAGGTATGACAACAGGGTGATTCATGAAGATCCCTGCCAGTTTTATAATTAAAACGGATCCATCCACAAGAGACGCCAGTAACCGCTCACAAGTAAACCGACCCTTGCCACCTTGAGAGGCTACAGATGGAAGTGGCCATTTCTCTAAATACAATAGTATGCATGTATATGAAATAGATATTTAAAAAAAAACATATTTCTGTGCAGGCAACAGGAGGCCAATGGTTGGGCACCATAGCAGATAGTTCGTTAAAGTGTCACATATCAGAACCGGTCCATGTGCATTATAACCTTCATTCAGCCCCTATCCCACTGAGGGCCGAACAATTGCGATTGTTTGCAAAGGTAGCAAAATCTGTGTTCACGTCAGTCAGATCATCAGGGCTCGTTCAAGTTTACAAATGCTCGCCAACACTTTCGGTGATTTTTCTTGTTGCAAGGAAATTTTTTTTTGCATGAATTCTCTTCGACAAGAAAAGTACAGGCGAACGTCCGACGACCATTTTGGTGAAGATTTGCATTCTTGAACGAACCCTGACGAGAACGATACATCGGCTGCCTTCCAAAACACTTCACAATTGTTTGCCGCCGAGTGGGATATGGGGCTTTAGCTGCGTTTTACATCTCTGTCTTTTAAAGATCACTGCGCTCTTGGCTGGCGCGGATGTTTTGGCTCCTCTGTTTAGTCAGTGGCCATGCCGCTGTCTTAGTCAGCCTTTCGCCTCAAGTCTATCCATTCACCGCCTCTGTTACACAACACAGGAAACACAGCATGAAGCCAGGCCCATGTTTCCAGATCAGTGGCCCAACTAACAACCTTTTTAAACTTGAATAGGTCTTTCCATTAATCGTGTTCTTCCCGTTCCTTTCATTATACAGTCTCAAGACAACCCTCCAGAAGAAACTGTCCAATGACACCGTGGACTTGTCAGGCATTCCTCTGTCCACTCGAGATGTCCGTCAAGTGGCTTTCTACCTCCAGAACAACAGAGACAGTGTGGTGGCTGTGGATATCAGCTTTACCGAGCTCCAAGATGAAAACCTGAAGCTGCTTCTTCCTCTTCTCGCCTCGCTACCCAAACTCAACACCCTTGCCCTCAACGGGAACCGTCTCACCCTGACTATACTCAAGGACCTGACGGAGATGCTGAAAGACCCCAAGAAGTTCTCCAGCCTGGCCTGGATCGACCTCGGCAACAATGTTGATATTTTCACCATGCCTCAGCCGTTGTTGGTAGCTTTGCGCCGGCGCTGTAGCCTGAAGAGCAGTCTACCCACCATCTACGAGTACACGGAAGGTCAACCCTACTGCTACCGGCTGGAGACTTCCATCGAGGAACCCAGCCACTATGACGAAGAAGAGGAAGAGGAAGATGCAGAGGAGGACACAGATGACGTGGGGAACAAATTTGAGCTGGAGCCGTGGGGCTTAGGTGAGAAGCAACTCTCCAAAGACTTCACCCTTCACTACTGTGAGAGGTGATCAGCTGTTTCTCTCGGAGGCCCTTTCAACTGCGGCCGAAATGTTATCACGCAGCAATCTGTTAACTTCCCTAGCTTGAACAACCTCACACTTTCCAGCCCAATCACCCTTTGAGGCACGAGGGAGACCACATTGTGTAACACTCAACCAGACATCTCGTAATAGCAAGACGTCTCCGAATGAAACCTGCGCTAGCTGACGGTGGAGTGAGAGTCATTGCGGTGGACTTACCGTGTTGGTGGATGGTGCCGTTGGGAACAAGAAGTGGAAGACCGGATTCATTGGAGAAAAATCTCTCTCTTGCCCTCTCGCTCCCCTTTATTGTGTATCTGTTCGATTGTAGCAGCAAAGAAGCCAATCCAGAGCAGATTTCCGTCAGTTGTCCGGCTGGAGGAGCAGCATGTTGGCAGTATTTTTCCAGTGGAAGGCAAGTCCGTTTGAAACCAGTGGATCCCCACCAGAGTTCTCGACCAGGACTGAGACAATCTCCGGCAGGCAGAGCCTCGCTCCACATTGTGTGTTCTCTGTTAATCTCTCAACAAAAGCTATGACACAAGTTCAACAGACTACGCAGCCGACGACCTGTCACGTGACTCTGGCAAAACTGCTAGGTCAAGACTTTTCCCCAACTTTCCTAATGTCTACTTGTGAATACCCATGCTGCCCTTGTGCATATGTAAACGAGGAGACAAAACATGGTTCTCTTGTATTACCGCACTCACTGTTGTCTTTTTTTGTTTGTTTTTTTTTGGGGGGGGGGTGTTGTAGTTTTCATTAGCAAAGCTATCGGAGATGACCAGCAGGAATAAACAATGGTAGCTGTTACTAGTTTATGTACTTGCTTAAATACTTAACCTCCGTAATGTAGTCAGCACTTTTTCAATTAAACTTCCTTCTTCACCTTTATTTATTTCTATTTATACAATGCCATGACTTAATCTCGTGATTAGACTGACTTTCAGTGTCATGTCCTTTGCAGTAGCACGTAGTCAGGCAGACCAAAACCGTGCGATGCACTTCAATGCACTTTTCTGTTTGTATTTCCTCATATAGCAGTCTCTGTGGGTAATTGTTTGAAATAGAAATTTACAATGCAGAAGCTATCATCTTCACAACGCTGATCCAAATGGCTCAAGATTGTTAGTAATTTACAGAAAAAAAAAATGCTGCTCCATTGGCATACGTATTCACGAAATGTCTAAATGTGCAATAGATGTATGTTTGTCTCACTGAAATGTCTGGTAAGTGTTGTAATTATTTGTGGATTGGTGTCTTGTCCTATTCTGTGACTATACGGCTCCAATGTCATCAAATTGAGCACAGTGGCCTTCTTGTGTAAAATGAAACAATTCGACAGAAAACTTAAGTGGACGTGGCAAAGTGTATTACATTCTCAAATAATGTCATTTGTGATTATATTGAGAGTAGGCCCATTTTATGTTTGTTTGGTCTTGAGTGTGGCAGAACACTGTCCAGTTCGTTTGTAACGTCTCTTTCATGTTTGCAAATGACTTGTTGTAGTTTGTATTTTCCAAAGCCAAACACTACCAATAAATGAATTGATCCAAACTGAGTCATTGATGTCCGGTTTTAGCTCAGAGGATTTATTGACGGGGATTCTGAAAATGGGACGGTGATTATTGAGGACTGCTCTAGATAGGGCGGCTGTATCAAAACATGTTTTTCAGCCAGTGACTGTGAATCATCTGTCCCTTTTGCATCATTGCGTTGGCTGCCCATTTCGTTTGTGATCAGATGAGATCCGATGCATGATCCTGGAAAGGAAAACTATTGTTCCTGTTCTCAGACAGGCTGTGTCATTTGCATCGGGAGCCCCCTGATAAAAGTCAGGAAGAGCACAGCATACTCATACAACCCCTGAAGTAAATGTGGCACAGCGACAAGAATCATCCCCAAAAACTGCTGGCTCTTACCAGGATTGCGCATATTGCTCAGTGGTAGGCATACGCACTGAAAATATTAAAACATACACCAAATTCACTTGCAAACCAAGCATATTGCAGCCCTGTCAGGAAGACTGGCCAGCATCCACTTGAAAAGTTGAAGTCAAGCCAGAGCTAGTTGCCACAACAATTGCTGCAAGGTCCAAAGTCACCATAAAACCTAGCAAGGCATTGATGTCAAGTGCCGTTTTACCTGTTAGGTTTTTATTTTTAAGTTTGACCTTGCCCCATATTGGAGACGTGTTACCATAACGCATAGTTTGATGGTCAATAGTTGGCCACGTTCACCAGGGCATCACAATGTAATGCAAACCACCTGGCCGACAGGAACTTTATATGACCAGAAATTTATTTTTTATTTATTTAAAAAAAAAAAAAATTAAAAAGTGTATTTGAAAATCCTCACCAAAACAAACAAAAAAAAAAAGAAATCAAGGAATAAATGTCTTGTAGAGTTATAATTTCCGCTCATGACGAAATCGTGCAAGCTTTGCACGCAACTGAACAGTAAATGTTTGTTGAATGCCATGACAAGAAGAGAGGCACTACTCCCATCAGAACTATTCATCTTGCTTTCTTCTTATCCTTTGAGATTAAATGTACTACCGGGACATATTCTGTCTTAGTTTTAATGTGTTTCCATGCCACGTGGTTACATTCAACAGTAGGATGCATTCACTTCGCGCCACAAATCTTGCTTCCATATCCATGTTGACAGATGCACAGCATCAGTAACCAGCTGGTGCACCCAGTTTCCTTAAATCAGACACTGCACTGATACATCCATCCTCCTTCTCCACAGCATTGACCACAGTGAAAAACTTCTTGGCAGGTTTTTCTTTTTGTCCCAGAGCTTTCAGATCCTCGATTACATCCTGAAAGACAATGCAAAAAGATTCAGACGGGACACAGTACCGCTTGTTTTTCCAAAAGCATGCCTTCAGTTCATTTACCTTATCAAAATTGGACTCAAACTGCACTGCATTTTCAGAGTCAACAAATAAAATTGGAGTGGCAATCGCCTCCTTAAGGCTCTTCCCAAACCAAAGGTGGTTTATGATTGCCTGAAAAGGGAAATAGAATTATGCGTCTGCCAGATGATACACTTGTGAACAGAGAGCACGCTCTGACAATAGTGAGGACAGCACTTCTTTGCAATCTTAACGGCACTTAGCATGGACACGCACTGAGGCCATTCCAGTGGTGATCATACCACCACCAGTTGATCCAATAACCAGCACCCTTGATTTTGACTTGAATACAGTAGGGGCCATGGATGAAGGAGGCTGCTCCCCTGCAAACAGAACAAAAGCCTAGCGAGATACTATTCAGACTCATCAATTTGAAAAGACATGAAGAAAAATGGTTGCAAGTACAATCAGCTGGCGTCTTTTGAATCATCTGAATCGTAGCTGCGGATGGAGGTACTGTTCCAAGCCTGTAGAAGCAGCGGAAGTAAACATAGCCAGTGGGGGAAGGGTCTGAAAGTTGTCGCGGGAAGCTAACACAAAGCTAACGTGATGTAACAATGATAATGTTTGCAGTATAGGAAGATTTTTAAGTGGAAAGCAGAGACACTGCAAAAGCAACTTGCCATGTGTGAAGATTGAGCATTTTGTGTTGCAGAATATGCCACCTGAAAAACTGATGTGACCCCCAAAAAGGATTTTAAATTGTGTGCTTGGTCTAAACATCACTCTCCATATAAAATGTGTCACGTTGGGACAGTTTTATTTTTTAAAAAAATTAAGACAATTTGTACTGTATGTTGTTTGGTTTCTGCTTTTTACATTGCCAGATCAGATCGGGACTCAGTATTGGCAGATCCTCAAAATCAAGTACCTCGGACTCGGGTGCAAAAAATTGTGATCGGGATCCCTGCAAATAACGACTGACACTTGAATTGTCACCATAACTGGTTGAGTGGTTGGGCACGAAACAGTGTGCCTAAACGGAGGCCACACGACATTGAGGCAAATCCTCAGTACTGGTTAGATGAGGGTTAATAATTTACACGATACAGAGATCCACTTGGGCCTACCTGCAAATAATTTGTCAACTCTTCCACAGAAGTCACACAGATGACTGTTGAGGATGACTCCGGTGCTTGGAGAAAAGACCCCTGAGCCAAATCTGTAAAGAAAATTATCAAGTTACCTTTCAGGAGTAGGGTGGAGATGCAACACATGAAATTACCTCGGTAGTACTGACATGTGGTTGATGCTGCTGGTGACAGAAACAGCAGAACCGTCTGGGGCCAGCACCGACACATGTGTGGTGCCCATGCTGTCTGGATATGGCGTCATGTTGTAATACTGCGGACTGTGTGACATTTTGTCGTTGATTAAACTGCGGATGTAGTCGGCGAAGCTGTCCTCTGTGAATTTCGTTGTCAGCTGTAAGAACGACAGAACATTTTGTATGTGTGCGTGTTATGAGAATCAAACTTGAAAAGGTGAAACTTGAAGCTATGCGTGTTCTTTTGTTTGCCCTACGTTGTCCTTCACTGTTATTCGGCGCCCTTTGTGAGGCTCAGCCCCGGAGAGTTTTTATTCGCAATGGCTTTTGATGACACCCTTTCCATTTTCACTGAGTCACGTGAGCTTTGGATGAATAAGTTCGAGGGTTCACGTGTTCTGTCACTGCATTTTCGTTGCCGTACTGCGTATGCACCTCCACTCTTCATCCCAGAAAACTGAGTTAGTGATCAAGTGAAGTGAACACGTACATATTGAAAGTAATGGACCATAGTCATGTGATAACACTGAAACGTAAAGTTGTGTGTCATTTGCATAAGCATGATAACAGGATAAAGGTTCACGCGACTCCTAACCAGCTTGAAATAAGCCCCGTCTTATTTCAGCAAGACAATACCAAACAACATTTTGCATGTTACAATACCGTGGCTTCGAAATGAAAGAGTGCGAGTACTAGACTGGCATGCCAGTAGTCCAGACCTGTATCCCATTGAGGATATGTGGCACTCACCAAGGTCTACTAATAGCTGCATCCATATAAAACATCCCAAGGCCAACAAAAAGTTTCACGTCTAGACTCAACCGGAAGTCGGCCATTTTAAAATTTCCTTTCAAATTAAATTATTCATTGTTAGCCTTTTGTAGAGGTCGGATTTTATCAAACTCGTTTTTAATCTGATGTACTTCATACCTCCAAACATTTCAGTATGGCAGTGTCCCAAATGCCATCGTGGCCAGGGCTGCGAGGGCCCTTTTTTCACTGCTCGCAGCTCTAGTTGTCTTTATTATTAATTTGCACGTAGCTTAAAGAATTCAAACTGTAGGACAATGTGATTTTATAAGAGCAGCTACTTGCTGGTGTGATATGCTGCATCTTACATACGATTAGTCGACTAATGTCCATTTGGCAAAATAAAACTCTGTAAATAGAACTTTTTATGAAGATTGCATTGATAGAGTTATAATTTCAGTATAATTCAATTATATTACTTAGCGCTTTGATTTAATAGTAGCCAAGGACATAAAAGCGGAAACTAGGACTTTACCATAGCTTCATAGGAAACGCTTTTTTTGTTTCTAATTGTTGAACCAGATTCATTTGGTCACAATGAAATAGTTAGTGAAAAAATGTCTCATAGTCTGGGACTGGTGGTAATGGGTTATTGTTAAGCGTCTTTGGATCCCTGAGAAGATGCTACATTATTCCAAATTATTATCGTCGTCATTATATTATCATCATCATCATGATTAACATTAATATTATTACCCATGGATCCATCCATTTTCTGATCCACTTTATCCTCACAAGGGTCGCAGGGGGTGCTGGAGCCTATCCCAGCCGCCTCCCTGAACTAGTTGCCAGCCAATTACAAGGCACACATAGACAGATGACGATCCGCGCTCACACTCACAACTAGGGACAATTTGGAGTGTTCCATTATTGTTGTTGTTGTTGTGTTCAGCTTGTCCCATCAGGGGCAACTAAACTGTGACTTAGTCAGTTCTAGCTAATACAGATTACTTCTTTGCATATTGTGACAAGTTTCAGGCATGAATTTAATTCTGAACTGACCTCAAGATCACGGGTATGTTTCTTTAATCCGTTCGCAAACTTCAGAGCTTCAACATAGCGGTGATAAAATAATGTTTTTTGTTCACCTCTCAGGGATGCTGGAGTCAGGTCATATCCTGTAGAAACAAAGATACAATGTCTCTTCACACATCTATTCAGTTCAATCTCAGCTGTCAGTGTGTACAAAGCCTTAGTCTGACATGTTGCACAATATAACTGAGTCACTCTGTGATTTCAAAGTTACAAATCACACTGGGGGGGTTATTCCAGCAAGCAGGTTCAACACACTCCTCACCTACACCTGAGTTCCGAGTTGACTTCTTCAGAAATAGATAATGGTTCTACAGCAGTTAAAATGAATTCGTTCAATCAAGTCTGAATACTCTCACTTTGAGGGAAAGCTCATGCATGGTCACAGCCAAAAGACATCATCAATCGATCCCCAGTATGTCGATTGACCCTGGAAACTGATAGAAATATGTCAAGTACACTGTTACTGTACTTCCAGTTTCTCAATATATTTTTATAACTGCCGTTGATCAATATTCCACATTACTAATTGGTAATGGTGAATGGGCTTTTCACCTACAAGGCACTCAGATCGCTTCAACACTGATTCCTCATTCAACTACTAATAAAACAGCATCAGGAGCAACCGGGGAGTCAGTATCTTGCTCAAGAGCACTTTGATATGGTCACAAGGGTCAGGAATCGAACCACAACCTCTTGGGTGGGAGACGACCACTCCGTCACTGAGCCATGCCGCCCCACACTAGACCCTTTAAAGCGCCCAGTCACTTTCTGCATCATTGCACATCCAAAGTTGTATGACACTTACTGTGCTACTGGTCACTTTAAATTATGGGCATCATCTGCACGACTGTCATTTGAAAAATTAAGAAATTAAGACCGTTGTGCGACCAGATCAGGGTGTAGTCCGCCTTTCACCTGAAGTTAGCTGGGACAGGCTCCAGCTTCCTCCCGCGACCCTGTTCACGATAAGCGGTGTTGAAAACGGATGGATGGATGGATGGATGGATGGATGGATGGATGGATGAATGGATTATCAGAGGGACAGCCAACGTTAGATGTTTGGGGGTTCTAAGTTAGAGAAAACAGACTTGGATGGTTTGGACACATGCTCAAAGGAGTGATGATGAGTATATTGGTCGGAGCGTGATGGGGACGGCGCTGCCATGAAAGAGAAAGAGGAAGACCTAAGAGAAGGTTGATTGATGTAGTGAGGGAAGACATGAGGGTTGATGTTAAGGAGGGGGATGCAGAATGTACAGTAGGCGTCACTGGTCAAATGATTTTTCTCACTGCCTGACACACTGTTGCTTTTATGTAAAACAAACCTCCCATTAGCAAATAAATGAATCAATTGTGCGATGTACAAAATTTTCCCCGATGTCAATGCAATCCATCGTATGTGAGGTCAACGACATAGAGCCAGAAAATGTTATTCAAGTAAATAACTGGCCGATGAAAAGCGGTACTGTCCAATTAATCGGGAAATGCCAGCGTATCATTTTCGATGTAGATGTGCCTCAATATCTACGTGATTGCAAAGAAACAGACAAATATTGTCTGCCTAAGGTGGCAGGAGACTGGTAATAAGTCAGGATTTAGCCTACAAAAACTGCAAGCGAGCAGGGAAGGATCACAGAGTCTGTCACAGTGGCGAATGAGTCGGAATTTCTCTACACAGCTCTTTGAAATGGCTGGTTCAGGATTTTCCTCATCTCAGGGTCAACTTCCTCCGGGCTTTTGCATAGCCTACTAACTGGAATACCCCTGTGGTCTGTGTGATGAAACAACCTTTCAGGATGTTGAGGACAAAGCTAAGGATGTTTCCACCTCCAGGGGGTGGAGCAATATACATCTGATATTCTCCCAGAGGAATTGTCCATGCATCGCTCACTGTTGGTCTGTAAGATGCCAAGTCCTGCAATGTCAGCAACCCTCCTGGGCAAACACATGGGTACAAATGGTTCCAAACTGAACAAAGAAAAGAGCTACACATAATCAGGACTTAAAATCCATCAAATGAAGAACTCAAACGCAAAAGTCGATGTCTTGCATTTTTGTGAATGATTCAGAAAGCTTTCTTATTCCGAGTTCCCGGTTTAAAGATTAGAATTTTGTGTAGCGTATTCTAAATGAATATATATATTAAACCATTAGAGGGCTATTTTCTGTGTGAGAGAAGTAAGGTGGGTGGGGGGGGTCAAGTTAGGTGGAATGTATTGAAGGTGAAAGGTCTTTCAAAGAAGTCCTTGATGTCATTTAATTTCAAAATCAAGGTAAATAATGCTGCCATTGCTAATGTTGGGAGAGTGTTCAGTGTCACAGGTGATCTTACTAGGGGAAAGCGTAACAAATTGAAAGTCTCATTAGCACGAAACCAAAGTAAATACTGCAATTGTTTGCCTTCCCTGGTTGTGTTACCAGCATTGTTGTAGCAAGGACGGTGCGCTGCACTTTATTTAGATGAATCTTCAAACATGGTTACATTCATCCTAATTAATCTGGGGCAATTATCCTTTTTGTTTTTTTTAATTTAGTTGAAAACTACTTGCTAAGTTTTAAATGGCGCTTGTCGGCTTTTGCGTTTGGACTGTTCAATTATATTTGCAATGACATTATTTTCGGGTAGACATAATATATACTGTAGTTGGAAAACAGATCATGATTGAATTCATCTGACAATACCTGCCTCCTGTACGTCTCGGATTAAATCTTCCGCTATTTTTCCAGTGTAGAAAGCATCTGCTCCAAGATTTGCAATTGTCTCCAATGTGTTGGCAAGTGTCTCAAATTTTACAACATCTCCTGTTTTCAGCAGGTTTCCATTTTTATCGGAGAACAGGTCACTAGAGGATAAATACAGTATGAGAATCCTACTAATCATGCAGACACTGTATCAAGGATGTACACTTAATAGGTACAACTGCACAACCAAATACCATACTATGAGCTGTTTCTAGTATTTTGTCACCTTATTTAGCTAAATGAAAGGGACAAAGGGCTACAAAAACCTACATTCTTGTACCACTCCACCTTTTGTGAACCTGGTACGATACCATCAGGAGTAATGGTGGCTAGCTCAATGATTAGCTCGTATTGTATTTCAAATAAAACAAGTCTTGAATGTGACAGAACATCAATGTAAGGGCAAAATTGATGGAAGATTTTGTCCTGTCAAATTGTGTTGGGGGGGTGTCCTACCGCAGTGGCTGGGTCTCGTTGGTATCACAAACATGCAGGTATTGACCAAGGATTTGTTGAACAGGAAACCCCTGTCTGGCCAGCTGAATGGTCGGCTGGAAGAGGGTTGCCCATGGCAACTTGCCATAAAGCCTGTGCGCTTCTTCATAGCCACGGATTTCTCCTGGGATTCCAATCCACAGGCGACCAGGATGGGGGACAACTGAAATACAATTCATTCAATAATCAGCCACAGCACATCACTAGGCCCAGCTCTAAGTATGTGGTGCACTATTGTAAACTACAACTATATATACCGCCCTGGTGGTCGAGTGGTTAGCGCGTTGACGTTCTCGCCGTGCCTGCGTGGTTTTGCTCTGGGTACTCCAGTTTCCTCCCACATTCCAAAAACATGCATGGCAGGCTGATTGAACACTCTAAATTGCCCTCAAGTGTGAGTGTGCGCACGGATGGTTGTTCGTCTCTCTGTGCCCTACAGTTAGTTGGCTGGCAACCAGTTCAGGGTGTCCCCCGCCTCCTGCCCCGCGACTCTTGTCAGAATGAAGCGGATCAGAAAATGGATGGATATGTGAAAGAGAGGGGAGGGGGCGAACTGGGACAGAAGTGCTTTCAAAGGACAAGGACGGACGGGGACGACGGACGATTATTATATGAATAAGGATAGAGGGACAATGACGGGAGGGTACCCAGGTCGTGGACAGAGGACGGACCGACAACATAGGGTAAAGTGCCCATGTCTGACACACAATAACTAATTTCCAAGAGAAGGGAAATGGCCAAACTATTTCAACAATTATACGGGATATTTGACAGTGTAAATAGAACTCTGTGTACTGCATTCTATACTTTGCTCTCCCTTGCTTTATGGGAATTAGAGATTTGTTTACACTGCAGAGAAAAAACTGGAATTCACCACACTCAGCATTTAAAATAGTTGCTGATGTGTGAAAATATAGAAATCTATGGGCTGCCTAGAGAAGGAATTTTGCAAGTAAAATAGTGTGTCTACCATTGCTATAAGTGTCCAACAAAAATGGGATACCTGACAAGAAACGGGAAGAATCGGGACATGACTGCAATGTATCGGCCTTGTACTTCTCAGGGACACGCTCTCTGGAATTGATGATCTTTACTTTTCCTTAGGAAGAGGAGACAAGAGTTGTTTTTCAGCTCTCTCGATTCTGAGTTCGGCCCATTAGAACTTTGATGTGTGAGTGAATGTGACTTGGCACCAGTACTGTCCATCACTGTGAATATGGCTCCGCCCCCAAGGCCCATGCTCTGAGGGTTCAGGACAGAAGTGCAGAGCAGAGCAGCAATGGCGCCATCTACCGCCGAACCCCCTTTTTGAAGCATGTCCCTGAAAGATAACAATCACACTGCTGATATTGACATGAAATGTTGTTGGGGGTTTTTGAATGACAAAGGTTATGATTTTTTTCATCATATTTCTTAGGTTAACTACTGTTGCAGTTTATGTTAAAAAGTGGTTAAGAGTAGACCAAGCCTAATTCCTGAATCTGTGGCCTCTGTGACTCCCAAACTTTTACAACCCTTCAAATGCTTCAATTGATGTTCAACATTTTGTTACATGTATTTCCGAGCTGCCTTCAACATATCATGAACAGTCAGTGCACAGAGATACACAATTACACAAATGTCAGATGATAGACGCGCTGTGCGCTAGGTGTGAGAGGATTGAAAAAAAACAGCCTCCAAGATCCAATAATAATAGCAAGTAAATTCTATGTTTTGGTAGATGTCATTTTTCAAGTAATATAGGAATCCTTTGTTTTAGCGATTAACTGGTTCCGTTACATATGCTTATCATTTGGTTTGAATGGTGGACAGTTTAGTTATTTAGCCACTACGGATGAGCAGGTGAATATGAGAGGGTGAACATTTGCTCATTGAAGTTGTCATGCTTCTAAACAAATAGCGTGTGTCCACTTCTCAGTCACTCATTCCCATTATCAAACTAAACAGAAATTCCTCTTACCGTCCAATTTGTGAACATGTCCCGGTGTCTGCAGCCACTGCACCATGAGAGAAGCAACCTTGTGGACACTTGCGCCTCCCGAGTTGACTGATGCACACAGACACGAAAATGACACAGAACACCAGCATCAGTGCGCAACACGCATACACTTGCCCCTTTGACCTGGCCATGTCTGCTTCTCCTCTCGCCGCTCATTCAGTTTGCGTCCAAAAACGTAACTTATCTATTTATGAATACAGTATGTGAAAAGTGTGAAGTGATGTGCCTGTGTGTTTCTGGGTGTTTGTGTGAGTGCGGCGATAAAGTCGGGATGTCAAAAAAAAAATATCTCCAGAGAATGGGCTGAACTGGGCAGTCAGGCTCCACCTCTGCCTGGTGTGCAAGAAGTGGAGCACAAGTTTTAAAATTTATTGAGCCAAGCTAATTTAAGTCTGTTGTGTCGCCCCCCCCAATAAATAAATACATAAAATTGAAAAGTTTTCTTAGAGCTCATGGAAAGTATATTCAAGATATGCTCCAGTTTAAAAAGATGTTGGTGCCTAAATTCTCCCCCAATTCTTGAATGATCCAGACAACCAAACTTGAAACGTCAAAGGTATAAAAACGATAACTTTCAGGTTAAACACCAGTCAAGTGTGGCCTCCAGCTGATAACATTGCACTCATTGAACTGTCAAAAGTGCATCAGGCAAAAATGTATCCATCACCATTGTCTGTATTGGTGTCGATATTGTAGGTCTGTACCGTACTCATACTCATAAAAATGCACCGATGCTACACACACACACACACACACACACACACACACACACACACGCACACACACACACACACAACACACACACACACACTCACACACACACACACACACACAAACGATACCATTTTACCAGCCTGACATATACAATACCTTTGGGATAGGAGCGATGACAGTTCTGTGGCATCACTTTAGGGTGAACACACGTGACAGGCACGGTACTTGTAGCCGACCGCAAATTATGCTCTGCTCGGGTAGCGATGAAGGAAGGCGGCTGCCCCGCGCGCCCTTCAACAAGCACCGAGGTTCCAGCACTGTTGGTGCTCCACACTGCTTGGATCCGTGCTGCTCAGCTCCAGCTGAGCTTGCTGCCTTCGAGTTTAAAAAAATGTATCACTTCAGTAGTCCTGTCACAGTTTCATGTTATAACTTGTGATACCCTCAAAAAGTAGTCTTGTATAGCGTCTTACTTAATTTAAAGTTAATGAACACTTGTAACTTGGTTATTTCATTTTATCTGTCTGTGGACCTCAACTATTACTGTGGAAAAGCACTTTTCCGAAACCTGTTCTTACTTTAGAACATTGTAGTGACTAATCTTGATTGAAACAGACAAGTAAAGACGACCTCCCACTTCTTTCTTCAAACAAAGCATTGTGGCGGACACAAATGTCATGTAGACGACCAAGGCATCATAAATTTCACCATTTTGAATGAGTCACTTTAATTTTAAATGGTTTGGATCCAGTCTTTCCTTTGTGTTTATTGGCCCGTTTAGTGACAATGAAAGTCAACCATTTGACGTTTACCATACAAGTGACAGGAATTTATGAAGGTCACAAACTCTTTATGTCCAGATTTTAAGATGCCCAAATTGCCCTTTTAATCATTACAGTCGTGGGTCTGAAGACAGACCCTCAAGTGGCTTAAAAAGAAAATGTGTGCTGTGGAATATTATGTGGTACAAGTGGTTTGTTGCCTGTAAATAATTACATCATTATTAAGGTGTAATCTGAGCTCAAAAAAGTGCTCTCACTAAAATGCTCCAAGAGCAGGCTATTTGTGTTTTGTTTTGTTTTGTTTTGTTTTGTTTTGTTTTGTTCTCTTACATGCCAAAGTATACACACACTTAAGCAATAATAAACATTTTGATTGAACTGGCCTCCTGCTGTAATCATTTTCTGATTTGTGATGCACTGATTTAAGTCCAACCATGACTGAGAGAAACAATAAACTGGCGCCACGGTGACTTTGTTTGGCACTGAGGGCCGTATAATTGTTCAGAGTCCACTGATGTGGTGAATTGCAGTAAGACAACATCAAGATGTGGTCTGTCTTCCACCAATATCGTAAAGCATCATGGGTAGTGAAGTTTACAGATGTTTTCAAATGGAGGGACGAGCCAGGAGCCAAACGGAAGAGGGTGTTTGTCATAAAAAAGATAAAATCCGGATACGGCAACACATGCCTTTCAAACTAAAAGTCTTCCAAAATAATTGTGTGATAATCAGAGGTGACATTTTCATCCATCCATCAATTTTCCAATCCGCTGAACCCCTTGAAAACGTTATAGTTGTTAAAATCCTGACTCAAACTTGTGCCAATATTCAGCAGTCTGGATAAAGTGTATCATAACAATCTAGTGTTCGGGTGAGAACTGCGGCGACGTTTGGCTTAGTTTCAAAATGTATTTTGAAATGTGTAACCGGAATTAGTTACACACATAACTCTTTCGATGTCTTTACACTGGGTGTCTTTCCCGGTGGATCTTTAGTATTTATGGCAAAATTGGCCTGTCAGCGGTTGGTCGCCACTACAGACACAAAGACAGAGTGTCAAATTGTCGGTTGGGGTGCATTTTTTGGTCAAACACAAGTGGCGTGTTTTCCCGTTTTGGACTTCCATTTTGGGTTTCGAAAAAATGTGCTTTTATGTTGACTGATATCCGTCTGCGTGCACTGCAGTGGTGCGCAGCTTGGCCAGGAGGGAACACCTGTGTGCCTTCTCTTCTGCTCCCATATGGTTACATTATGAATGTTGAGCAGGTATGGATGCACGATTAAATGTGTCGAACAATCAGGGGGGCGGGGGCGAGTGCAAAGAAAAGACTGACGTCAACTCGAGTGTTTGTCGTGAATGTTGTGGCTCATGATGGTATGTGTGGCGATCCTTTATAAGTCTTTGTAGCTACACTGTGACCGTTGCGAATTTCATTCTGTGGTTTGATACAAACAGTCTTCCCCAGACGCAGTGCTTTGTGTGCGTGTGGGTGTGTGTGCGTGCGCGTGTGAGAGAAAGGGGGTGGGATGCGGGGGCGTCTTGAAGCTGTCAGACAGGATGATCGGGGCCGGGAGGACATTTATCGCAGGATTACACGACCATTTTTGGTGAGGCATCTTGCTGGCCCGCTGATCACAGTTGACGCGAAACCCTCGGGGTTTGGCTGTTGGTTTATTATAGTTATATAATTACAGTCATTTATTATTTATTCATAATTGTTGTTATTTCAAAAAGGAATGACAGACTTCATATCACCTCTAACATCACCAAAATGATCGCCAACAGAATCCCAATTATAAACGTGTGTAGGACTGTGGGCATTGGCACTGCTTATATAATGTTGTTTCGTGTGTGTGTGTGTGTGTGTGTGTGTGTGTGTGTGTGAATGGATATGTACCAACTGGGAGGAAATAGCCATGGAAATATTTGGGTTGCTTGAGTTTGAATTACAGCAAAAACAATCTTGTTAGGTTAAATGAAGACTCAAAATAGTCCAGATTTTTTTTTTTGTCAATATGTACCCTGCAATTGGCTGGTGACCAATACACGCTGTGGTCACTGATCGTAGGAGGTCTGGACTAAACATTTTGAGGGCACAAGATTTCAAAACAAGTAAACAACAGAAATTGTAGTGATGTGGCTTCAAGATTCTGACTCGTGGTTGTTTTGAGTTGTTTTGGTTTTCTTCAGCATTCCCGGGTATGCGACGGATTGAGGGTGGCCTTTAAGGTCAAACAAAGACCAATACTGTTTCTGAAATAGCTGGTATGGAAGCAACAACCACGTTAAAGGTCTTTGGATTCCTTTCCCATTATGGACCTTGAACATCTTGAAATGCTTGAGAACAAGAAGTCTCAGACTTCTGATTTGCTGATTGACTTTTTGGTGTTTGTTTTATGATAGTTTTTTTTTTTTTTCCTTTCTATTTATTGCATCCATCCAGAATCTCAGTAGAGTTGCAGGTGAGCTGGAGCCTATCCCAGGTGACTTTGGGCAAGAGACAAGGTACACCCTTGGTTTTGAAATGTTATTAGTAGAAATTGAGGAGATTGGAATAGTTTTACTTTTTTTACTTGAACCCCCTTTTTGTGGATTACATGATGCGGCCCAGACACAGCCAGACTCCACCTCCAGTGGTACCCACATAAATTGAGTTTGAAACCCCTGATTAAGAGTCTTTATTTTAGCTAAGAAACATGTTTTTGGAATGTGACAGGAGGCTGGATAACCTGGACAAAGACAATGCAAGCGCGGAGTAAAATGCAAACACTGGAAGGCTGGCACTGGGATTCAAACTTGTAACTCAGAACTGTCAGGTGGATGTACTAAACATGAATGGACAGGCTGATTGTTCAGTTATTTACCAACCAGTCACAATTTCCCTTTTTTAATCATAGCAAGAAGTTTGTGGATGAGAATGCTTGAATAGACGGGCAGGCAGATGGATGGATGAAATAGATAGACAGACAGAAAGAAAGATAGAAGCCCCCCGATGTCAGTTCCAGCCTTGTCGTCACCGCTCTTTATCTCCGTCTATCCTTGTTTTTCAGGGCGTGGATAACCTCGAGGCGCAGCGTCTGTCTTCATTTGTGTGAGAGAACAGGAGAAGGCGCGGCGCGAGCACCACCGGCCCAAAAGCAAGCATGAAGAGAGCAGCCCTCTTTGCCCAGAGCTAAAATGCTAAGGTTGGAGAGCGAGGGTGCCGGATTAAATCAGCAGACTGATTACTTTCAAGTCGCGGGCAGGAAGAGCTGCTTGAGACAACAGCCTTTGTGTGGTTTGATGCTGCTCCCAGTCCCTATCCAAAACAAGACCTGTTAGCTGCTATCTGCATCTCCCTTCTGCTGTGAGATTGAGCCGTGCGGAGCAGAACCCAGATGGAGTGGTCACTCGAGGGTGTGAGAGAGATGGTGGCCGGAGGGATGCAGTCTGTGAGAGAGTGTGAGATCTGTGCTTGTGCCACAGTGGTGTGTGTCCTGCTGCTGTTCCTGTGGTACTGCTACAGGGTGGGCCGCGATCACAGCTCGAGTCCATTGCGCGGCAGGTATCTGACCGGTTCTAGCAGGATTGGAGGGGTGGTGGGGGGCTTCATCGGCTCAGACTGTCGTAATCGGGGCAAAGGGAAATCCGGCTCCATGTTAGAGGAGCAGAACGGCTTTGCTTTCTGCCAGTCGTCCGAGTGTTTCCGCTGCACCAGCGCTGGAGAAAGTCTGAACCAGAGGCTCTACCACAGCCTGCAGGAATACGCCAAACGCTACACCTGGTCGGGTATGGGCAGGGTGCACAAAGGAGTACGCGACCAAGGTCGATACCTTAACACCCGACCAACCATCCAGCGGCCTG